TTTAAGCTCAATAACGACAAAAGGGATCTTTAACTCAAAGCAAAGTTCACTAAAATCACAGTAAGCCCAAAATGTTCAACGTCTCACATACTTGTTTGCGCGATTAATTAAGCATAACCACAGTTGCATGGATGTTATCGAGACTTACCTCGAGCGAATAAAACTAGATAGATCACCACGCCACCTGAGCTCTACTACCAGCTGAGACAATGAATGAACGAGCTACCTAACATCCGTCTATTAAGCATGCAAGAGAAAAATGCTAGAAATTTTGGAATAAGCAGTCTTCCAGCGCCCTATTTCCTTTTTTAGCCAATTGTGACAAGAGCGTTTACTTATCTTTCTACTATAGTCACTGCGTGTTCCAACGTGTTCCCTTGCGGAAGTTGCTAGGGGAAACATATTTTATCCCTCAGGCAGCCCCTTTAATTTGCCTCTGTTAAAATTTTTATCAAATTATGATTATTTCCGCAGATTTCTTGCCACACGTTTGCTATGACACATTGCACCTTACTTCGTGCGCTTGTATTTGTTGAAGAGATTCTTTTTTTAGAAGTCAGAGCAAAAGAGCATTAAGTTTTTTGAGGTGCATATTACGAATAGAAGAGATGTGTGGGTTAATTAAGCTGTCAAGATAGATTCAATATCAGTAAATAACTTTGGTTAGATCAGATTACACAGTGAAAATGTAAATGTAAATTTAATTTCAAAAAATTCAATACAAGCTCCTTGCTGAGTTATTGAATTTGTAGCAGGTGTTGGAAGTTTACGAATAAGGCTAATGTCTATTTCGTGTGAGCCTATCACATTTGCATGGTTGAATAAGGTTAAAGGGCTTGTTCTGAATATGGCGATAAACATTTTCTTTATATTTCTTCCTAGTGAGGACCAGTCTTCAGTACCATTCTACAGGGGTAAAAGCAAATGTGGACGATAGTAATAACAAACGAATGAGGTTGGCCAAAATCTAGACCTAACGGGACAGATTAGCACTCGTTTTATTTAGGTATTTAAATGAATCAGTCCAATCTGATAAACAGACAGACCATCACAGACGAAACTTACATCTATTTAAATTTTGAAAAGCCAGCCCCAGGGGGAGGGGGTGGAGAGGAACAGAGATTGGCCAAAGAAGGGGAGTATGTTAAACCATCACTTGAATAGAACATTGAGAAATAGCTTATATGCAAATGACAATTTATGTTTATAAGAGTGCTACTGGTAAATCTCAGAGCTTACATGATAATCTAACGCAGAAAATAAACCACGCTACATCAAAATAAAAGTTTTCCGGGTGTTGGCTTATCACTTTGGGGGAGAGGTGGGGCTGACGTGTTATGTAACAGATGGTCACGTGGCTATAAAATATTTTTTAAATGTAATTAGAAATAGAAAATAAAACTGCGGTGACAAACGTGACGAGGAACACGTATCTCACGAAAATATGACTTGGTAACTTGACATTTCATTTGTGCTTCGTTTGTCTGTTGAAGTATAGGAGACATCAAGTTTCTAATGTCGTACTTTCGTGTCTACGAGCTTCGGAACGCAGCGTGTTATTTATTTCAACTATAACCCATGTAGCAGAATCTGAGAGTTTAAGGTCAATCAACAATGACAATTTGTGATTTTTGCATGTGCATCATTCACCGCGAAAATACAGGCTCAAGAAAGTTGGAACCTTGTCTTAGACAGTTTGTACCCATTGTAGAGAGTTAACTTCCTGAAGATCACAACACAAAGACACCTGCAGTACGAAACCTAATACACTGATAATCTCTTTAGGTTTCATGCGATGTCCGTAGGTGACGGGAAGCCCTAATTAAACGGAACATAGAAATACTAGCTCAATTACTGGGATATAATTTCAGTCCAGAACATTAAAATAACAATAACGATGATGATAGAATAGTAATAACAGTAAAAATAACAATAATGATGATAATAATAACGTTATCAATATCAATAGTTATATCAAAATAATTATAACGACGACGACATCATACTGATGAAGATAACAATGATTATGATAATGATAATACTTATTATAATTACTATAATAATAATAATAATAATAATAATAATAATAGTAATACAACTGAAAATAATGATAACAATGACAATGATAACTATTAAACCAAGCTGAGCTTACATGGTTAGATCGCAATGATGTCACTTGATATCCTTCCCTACCAATAACTCCTCCTTCCCCCCCCTCCCCTCCCCTCTTACCTCCCGCGTAACATTTTTCGTGGCATAACTGACGATGGTCATCGCTTGGAACTGACATCAGCAGTGGCTGCAATCGTTATCGAAAAGAGGAGGGCTGGAAGCTCATAAGTGGGAGGGGCGTGGTCAGGTTTAACATCCAACCGGTTGCAGTTATCGTGGCTCTCTGCTACTCGGTCTTTTAAACCTGATGGTACGAAGAGCAGTTGCCGAAACAAGTCAGACTGCCCAACCTTGGATTGGCACGGGCAAATGGAACACATATAGAGCAGTTTCAGGAGTACATTGCGATATGCAAGACGTCCTCTGCCCGCAATCCTGCCCCATGAAATGTTCCTTAATCATCACGGTCCGAAATATTGCCGGCAAAATCAATTATATAACCATTGATAAAACAGTAAAAAACAAACCAAACAAGAAAGGCACTCCCCGAAAAAGGGCTACAAAAGGCCACCTCTTTCCCAGGATCGTTTTCCTTCCCGTGCGGCTGCAAGGAGCGTCAAAAACGAGCTGGAAACGAGCTTTAGTCTGTGGTTTTACATACTTTGGGCTCAACCAATCAGCGGCGATTATATTGCTCAGCAACGGAGGCAAGTCTATTCTTGCACATTCCGGGTTTTCACTGGGCATATTAATGTTAGAGCGAGTAACACGAAGATTGCATGATGCTGAAACAAAAAATGGTATATCAAAGTCAGCAAACCTTGGGGTCGATTGTATAGCGTTCGAGCGAGCTCCAATTTTAGCTCTGAACTCCTCTTTAGACTTGATTCCCTGGTGAGAATTAGACACTTATCACTTCGAAATTTAAAACTGTGATTGATGATATCTCCTGAACCAGAGCGAGCAAGGGCATAGCCAATAGTTTGTTTTGAGAGCTGTTTCTAGATAGATCTATATCCCCTGACGCCACTTTCTGCTCCAACTAACGTTTTCTTTCTCCTCAATCGACAGTAACAAAATTTTTCAGCTAAACTATTTACCTTGTCTGCATAACAAGAAAACAAAACACCACCTCAGTGAAAGTTCTGATGCATCATCCAACTCTGTAGAAAACCGAAACTTTGCACATCACCATCTACCGACCTACTACCTTGATATAATAAACTGCACAAACCCAATGAAACAAGTCCAAACTAAATACTCTGAATCAAATAATCGCTTTTGAGGACCCTAGAAGACCAAGGACAAGTCTAAAGGCCATTGTCTCGCCGTAAAAATACACGAGAGCGGCACAAAGAACAGTAACAGGAGGTACCAGTGTGATCTTGCAATTCCAATGACGACTAAAAATATGTTGCTATATTCCCCATTAGGCAGATTCTCGCATGCTTGTTCGTACTTGCCCACACACGCAGCTTTCTTACCATCGTTGACGATAACGGCATATGAATAGAAAGTTTAGAGGGTTTGGGTTTTGCAGAGTTCTCATATCAGACTCCTCTTCAGACGCCAAGGCACGCGACTTCTCCATAAACACAATGATAACCCAAGTATGTTATTAATAGACGCCAGAGTTGCGTCTTGAAATTAATCTTCCTTTACAACAATTACCCCTTAGAGGAATTTTGTCTCTCAGGTTCCCGCGTGCGCCGAAGGTTATCAGTTGACCCCGAGATATCATTTACCGTTATCAATGCGTGTGCTATGAACCGTTAACTACTCAATTCTGTATCTTAAAGTATCCAACTGAAGATTTTTTAACAGCAAAGGATTAATTAAAACTTATTGGTTTGTTTTTTTTTTCACCGTCTTTCTACAGCTGAGCTTAACTTGGCCGGCTCTTAGTTTAAGGTCAGCTCACGTCAAATAATCTTCGTGATCTTATCGAGGCCGCCGGAAATAATTCAACGAACCAATCAGAACCCGAGGAGGAGAATTAGAGGCCGAGGCCATTCGGTGTGAAAATAAGCTAAAGAGCATTGCAGATCCTAGGACAACATGACAAGTTGATAGCTTGTGTAGCCAATCAAAACATTATCGTAGAAATACCTTCACGAGAATATTCAGCCTGCGAACAGGCCCTTTCAGGATAATATCAACCGATATTCTCTTGGCCCTCATTATAACCGCTTCTGGGCGAGCGTCAATTTAAAAATAGGAGACCTTAAGCAACGCAACGTCTTATGATGAAAATATTTAGTATCAGACTCTAGGAAAATCTCAACCCGCAAGCGGACAAACGCGCGTCCTGTAGCACTATTAACGAGGGCTGTTAGAACGCTAGAGAATGAAAAAAAAAAAAATTGACACAAACCAAGTAGATTTTGCACCATTTTTCTACCGACGTAAGGGACTTTTCGTGGAGTCATCCCGTTATGCTTTAGCGTCTCCCTCCCCTCCCCCGTCTACCGGGAATGAGCCGGGAGACGGGGGAGGGGACTAGTCAATCCCAAGGGTTAAAAGAGGGTAGTACTTTCTGACAGGAGTCATTCCAGCAAGCTCTTACCACACCATCCCTTGTCTCCAACATCCTTATCCGGGGGAAGGGCTAGACAAATTGACCCAAGGGATTGAAATAGGGCTAAACAGGATAAATCAATCGTCTGGAGAGATATTCGATATAAAGAACGTCACAACGATGCAAGACTCCTCAGTTGAATTACTCTGAAGTCAGATGGAAAGAATATTTGCTGACCAACCGAACCTCTTCCCACTGCCCCATAAGCGGCTGTTTTTTAGCGTTTTTGAGCGTTTTATGGGCCAGTCACAAAACCCATGATTAAAACAAAACCACTTAGGGATCGAATGCATTTTTTTTGTAGAAAACTCACAGTTAACCTTTTATTTTAACCCCTCTTCAACCTTCCAGACTCGACGAAATGAGTTCAACAAAATGGCGTTATTAGTGTAACATTTGTCAAAAGGTATGCCTAAATTTAGACAATCCTCTGATCGCGATTCAAAAGCGCTTTGTCCAAGGTAATTTAAGTAAGTTTAGCTAATCAGTGAGCATACCTCACTTGCTCAATACAAAGCATTATTAGCAGCTCTCTTCGTGCTGTCTTCCATGTAATCTCTATTTTTTTGGAGATTAGATTGCAGACTTTCCTAATTCAAGACCTCATAAGAACCCTACGCATTACTGTAGAAGGAAAAAAATTTACAATCGAAGATGGAAAAACAACGACTAAATCTCTTCTTTTTTTTGTTAATCAAATACTATCAGTAAAAATAAACTGTAATCTTCATTTATCATGGATTTACAAATTCACCCGACGAGTTTCACCAATGGTGCTTTTATAGAAGTGAGTGTAACTATCGCATAGAAACTTTTTTTTAAAATAAAACAATAGCAATGAAAATTAGCTATAATCTTCATTTATCATGGATATACAAATACTTTACCCACAAATTGACCTAAAGAGTTTCACCAATAGTGTTTACATGGATGTAAGTGTAACTATGGCGTAGAAAATGTTAGTTTGTGCAATATAAAGTACGTACGTATGTTTCCAATTTGGTACTTATTTCATCTTTGTCAAATAAATCTGGTATGGCCTGAGATTCAAAGGAAATGACCAGCAGGCCAGTAACAAGGGAAATGAGCGGCCTAAAATGACAGCGCTGGTCCGCCATATTTCCTTCTGTTTGCCGATTGAAGATTACAACATCCTCTCACTGTTAGCCTTTCGTATCGCTTTCTTCTTTAGCAGTTATCTGCTTCATTTGGGCAGTCCAGTCTTCCATTTGGGTACCATAGATCTATGAGAAGTCATAGAGAGGAGTAATTGGAGAAAATATTTAGTCTTAAACGAGCAGTGAGTGTGTACAAACTCCTGTTGCGTGGCACGAACCGCTTTCTATACAAATGTAGATCGTGTTCCTTTTTGTAAAAACCGTTCTCCTTTACACCAAATTAAAATCAAGCGTCGGGACATCTAGACTGTCATATAAACAATCTTTAAAATGCTATTCACATCACGAAGTTTTTTTGTGCCAAAACACGAAGTGAAGTGAAATGCCACGAAGAGACTTCGAATCGTACAATACCGGAAGTGGAGATTCTTCTTGTTCAGACTCTCCCGTGCACGCTTCAAACTGACCCCTTTTGAATCCAGAATTTACCACCATACCGGTATAAGAGAAGAGGTTAAATTTCTTTACCCTTTAACTCCCATGAGTGACGAAGCCAGAATTTCTCCTCACGATATCAACACAATATCAAGCAAACAAGTGATGAGAATAAAGAAAAATCAATTTGGGATTACCAGTTGATCCACTACCAAATTCTCCATCATAGACATCATAGAAATTGTATGGCATACAGCAAGGAGAATTTCTAATGAGATCTTGAGAGTGAAAGGGTAAACCTTGTCTAATCAACACTTAATTATACTAGTGTGTATCGACGATCCAATAAAGAAAAAAAAAATTACAAAAATACAAAATGAAGTTTGTCAGCTGCATACCTCAGACACAAACTTCAGTGCTTGTCTCCAGGTCAGCTCCTTCTCTGCTCTTGCTCCCCATCTGTACTCATATGCAGCCTCGTCACCTCCCAAAACTTTCTTTCTGTCCAAGTAACTAAAACAGTTGCAAGGAAAATAGCTTTTAGTGTGTTATATTAAAGTTCACAAGCAACCTGGTGGAAAGTCAACCATGGTTTGATGCTACTCTGGTTTGAAGATTTAATAAATGTAACAGGGACTAACTAATCACTGCAATATATAAAAGGACCTCTTGTTGCAGTGATTAGATCACCCCTGATGAAGGCACTAGACAGGAGTGTCAAAATGATGAGTCTACGAATTTAAACTTCAAGGTTATATTAACTAAATCTTTAAACCAGAGTAGCATCAAACCATGCTGGCTTTAGTGTGTTCTGTCTGATTGGCAAAGATCATACACGTTAGGGCTGAACAGTCCAGGAATTTTATCAAGGGGAGGAGGGGTCAACAAGTAATTCTCAACCAACACATGCCCCCATTCCTTTAACTCATGGTTATACAAAGGAAATCTGCAAATTGAGTATATGTAATTTTGTTGTTGCAAGAACACTGGTGTCAGATAAGTATTTAAGAATCCACAGGTCAGATTAAGGTGGGAGAGGGGAGGGAAGGGGGTACCTGTACTATTGATTGTTGAGTTGTTATCACCTCCACCCTGAAAAAACACCTTGAACTTACCATTGTCTCACAAATTCTTGTGATATGAGTTTTTCTGAATCACCAAACACTTCATGCTCTTTCCTAACAAACAAACAAATAAATGTATAAACAAATTATGACAAAAACCAAACCAAAAACCAAAACAAAAACCAAAACAAAAACCAAACCAAAAACCAAAACAAAAACAAAACATGCATAATAGAGATGGGGATGAAAGTATAAAATTCTGACCCTGGTACATATTTTGTAATGACCACTTGACCACTGAAGTTTTATGATTGTTAATCCCCACGGAATCAACAAGCGCTTTTCATTCAACTAAGTTATTCCTGTTTTCTTGTCACCATATTCCCACCAATGGTGTAGCTCCACTTTGTACATATAAACCCACATACAACCCACAATTCCTCCAATCGCTCTGACGAAGGGCTAACGCTCGAAATGTCAGCTTTTTTACCCTTTACGGTGGCTAATTTACATTTTGAACTCAGTTGTTAACACTAAATTACCTGCTATACTTTCCCACCGATGCAGCACCACAGTTTCTTTAGAAACTTACCCCCTTTATTCAGAAAAAATGGCAAATATCTTTCCTTTCAATGTGCACTTACTTTGGTTCAATACCAAGCTTCTTCAGCATGTGCCAAAGTTTTGCTAGAAAGAAGCAAAATAATAATAATAATAAATAATAAAAACACTTATAGAGGGCTGTGTCCACTAATGGATCAAAGCGCTGTACAACAATGATTAAACTGTAAAATACAAAAGCTAATAGCTATTATAATGAAATTAATCAAACTACACTACTTAAAACTAGACGTCATAAGCCAAGCCAACCCGTGAAATAATTTGTTAACCCTTTCACTCCCAAGAATACAACCGACAATACAAAACAGCAAAATTAAGATCATTTCACAAGCTGTTTGCTGTTTGCTGTACAAGAGAGTTCAACAGACAGTACAACCAGTGAAATAATTTGTTAACCTGTTCACTCCTAAGATCTAATTAGTATTTCTTCTTACTGTCTGCCACATAATCTTTTGATATTACTTGGGAGAATTTAGCATTGGATCAACTTAAAGTCCCCCAAGTTATATTCTTCTCTATTCTCATCACCTTCCTACTTGACATTGTACTTATATTGTAAGGAGAAGTTCTATCTTGGTCACTCATGGGAGTTAGAGGGTTAAGGTACACTTATGTAACTCTTGCCAAGCAGTACATGTACATCTATGGCACAACTCAGATTAATACACAACACCCTTAAGAGGAACTAGGATAATGATGAGGATGATAATAACAAAATAATAATGATTATATTGCTGATGACAACACTGGTGTTTATAAAGTAATTAATTGTATGGATGGGCTAATATTGACACCAGATATTCGATACTATGTACACTGAGGTCAAATTGTAAAATATTGGTACCAGCAAGAAACTTCAAAGCCATTCCAGAGTGTTATTTATCTTTATCTCCTAGCTGCTGGGTCTGGTTATCACATTTGACTCATGGATACCACTATATATTTAAGTCAGTGTTTTTTTACATATCGTTATTGAATAACAATAATGAATAAATAGATTCCCTGTTGCCATGCCTCTGTTTAAGAAATAGATTCCAAGTTGCCATGCATCTGTTCAGTAATAGATCATAGAGGACGTCAAAATGTGGTAAGAACAAAAAAGTGGCACACGAGGCTCAGCCAAGTGTGTCACCGATGTTCTTACCACATTTTGATGTCCTCTGTGATCTATTACTGAACAGATGCACAGCAACTTGGAATCTATTTGTTTTATATAATAAAGAATTAAAATATATAGAAAAAAAGTTTTAATGATGACATCATCTATACTTCTGTCCTCCAGTAGATCATAAGTGAGAACCAATCAGAATGCGTACATAACTGAGCTTATTATATAATTAGTAATAAATCACAGATGACACAAAAATGTGGTAGGAAAAAGAAGGTGGCACAGAAGGTTGCAGCCATTTACTTCACTGATTTTCTTACCACATTATGATTTCTACTGTGAGCAATTACAGTACTGACCCATGGCAACTTGGATTTTTTTTTTTTTAGATGATAAAAAAGCAAAATGTTGTTAATAGTGACATCATTTACACATCTGCCCTCCTATAGATCATAAGTAAGAACCATTCAAAATACACATATAACCCTTTACACCCTAACATCAGAATGCATATTCTCCATACTGTTCTCTATACATTTCCTGAAGTGCTGACAAAGAGAATTTGTTTAAAAATCAGGAGCTTTTTAAGTTGGTGATCATTTCCTTGATTCTCGTGACCTTTTATGTTTGATTCAGGAGTGATATTGTAAGGAGAAATTAGAAGCTGATCACTCTTTAAGGTTAAAGGGATAATTCAGCTTATCATACTAAACAGTGTAGATATCAGTAAGTTTTCCTGTCAGTCAAAAATACCTCAGTTGTACTTACATTCAGTGATCACATGATCACACATAAAAATCATGCCTAACACAACCATCAGCAGACCCATCTTGGGAAGATCATCTCCCCTAAAACACAAGTATCATAAAAGAAGTGAAGATATGATCCTCCCTGGCTGGTCTTCTATAAAACAGTATGTAAAAAATCTACCTCCCAGTAGCAATTAACTTCTCTGACAACTCATCTCAGGGTAATGAGGATAGATGCACTAAACCCTTTCACTTCCAAGATCTCATTAGTTACTCTTCCTACTCCCTGTCATGCAATTCTTATGTTGTTAGTTCTGAGAATTTGGTGTGGGATCAACTAATGATCCCCTAATTGATATTTTTTGCTATTCTCACCACTTATCTGCTTGATAATCTGTTGATATGAAGTCTAGCTGCTATCATCCATCTTTTGTGATAAAAGCATGAAACTTGATATGCTTGCTACTAATCCTGTAACATATCATTTCTGATACATTGTATGGATCCAAGCTAGGTTACGCTCTGAACATGCCCTGAAATTGCCAACCCGGAAATGAGGCTGATAATGAAATCGTCTAGGAGCACTAAAACAAACTTGAAACTGATATATCAGTAACAAATGATATATTGTGTCATTAATTGCCTTAAATGTGATCAAGTGTCCTTTCTTTCAATTTTGAGAATCTTGATCGAGGCACCTGTGCTGGAATATACTAATGGTTTACTTCACTGATGAAAGCCAAGCAATCCACTATCATTTTTATGTCTGGCCACATGCTGGCTTTTCATGTGTTTCCAACCCTGAAAAAGTCTTACATTTAGGCATTCCTTATTAATCGATACTACACTTGCACTGTATTTTCTTAACACCCCCATCACCTGAAATGAATACTACTGTACATCTTGAGGGGGAGGTTGAAAATAAGTCCATCATAGAATTATTGGTACTATACTAGAGAAAAGGGCCAAGATACAGTAAGAATAACCATATATAGCCATTACAAACACTAGGATGTTGTGGAAAACTGTGAATTTACAGGGAAGCTTTTGAGATTGATATGAACTGAGTCAACTCAAAGTGTGAGTTTCACAAACTAGTTACAATTACCTCCACAGTTGCTAATCCAATGCAAGTTAGACGGACTTTTTGGCATTTGCAGCATAACCAACAACCTGTTTTGCTGCCTAGTCCTTGGCTTGGGAGAGAGTTGTCTAGAAAGACACCCTATGACTATTTTGAGCTGCCATCCCCATCTTACCTTAACGCAGCAAAACAGGTTGCTGGGGATGCTGTGACTCATAACTAAGATTGACTACATCTTTAGCAAAGGCACTTTGAATGGTTGGGTTTTGCTCATGGTGAGTTTGGCTCTCATTGGTGAGAACTCTTCAAACATTCTAGCCAGCTCTGGTGCATAACCACCATCCATCTTCCAAGGGCAGCAGGGTTTTCAGTCAACCCACACATCAAAAATTATTTGTAACAAGATTAGTACTAAGCATAAAAAGTTTCATGCTTTTATCACCAAAGTGAACAATTCAGTGTATGAACAATACAGCTATTTTTCAGACAATAGCAGTTAGACTAAATATGATACGGACAAATTCAGTCTTAGTCATCCATGGGTAGTCATAAATGGTTCAGAGCCAAAGGGTGATACTTTGATAGATGACCAAATTCTCATAGCCAATTTACACAGAATTATAGAAGCATGGAAATAAGAATTACTAATTTTATCTTGGGAATAAGGTATTTAAATTGAATTACCAGTCAATTAGTTCATGCTGTTCTTCACTTTTGACACCATCCACTAAAATATAACCTCTTGACTTTCCTACATCAATTTCTTCCACTTCTATTCCAAAAACCTGCAAAAATAAAATGATGGTATCTGTTAAGTGGAGTGTTTGTGAAAGACACCTTGTCACAGCAAACACAAGGTCCTTACATGTCTAAGGTTATGGCGTTACTGATTATTGAAAAGTATGGCAGATTCATTTTGAAAAGTGTATTATTTGCACATGAAAATCCCATTCCATTGGTTTTAAACCTTCCTACAGTCATACAAATAAAAGAGGCTATCAGTTTCTAAGGAAACTGCTGTGCTATGTGTATGTTGGCTGGCAAGTGAAACAAATAATTTAATTATCAATTCTGAGTTGATGAGGGAAGGCAAACAGCATAGGAAATTGGCAGTGACAGCTCTCAATCAGAACAAGTCAGACTGAATCCAGAGATACTCTGATAGAAACAATGCTCTCTACAAAATGTATTTGTATACCTTGTTTAAGTTTTTCTTGGCATGGTCAAAGATTTCATTAAAAGATTTGGCATGTTCCTTTAGCACATTCTTGGTTATATCTGAAACAGTTACAGATCACATAGGCAGAGTTTAGTACAAGGAGTCAGTACATTCATGCTTAATGATAAGAAAAAATAGTCATAAAATTAGAAAACAATAAAGAAAGATGCTTGCAAAGGTAAAGACTTTTACATTGCTCCAAGCTACTGAAAATGACAACACAATAATGTAGCATCATCCCACATATCTCCCCTATCAAAAATGTCACTGTTACGGTCTACAGAGAATGTGACTACATTATGAAACAAATAGCAGTATTCAGTAAGATGGCTAGCCCAAAACTATTCCCCTCATAATTTGACCATCACCTCTTTCTTAATCAACACTTAAGCTCCATCTTTCTCCACACATCTCTTAGTCCTTCACATCCTAACATCAGTATGCATATTCTCCATACTGTTCTTTATACTTTCACTAAGGTACCGACGTAGAGAATTTGTTCACTGATCAGGAGCTTCCTTAATTGGTGATAATTTTCTTTATTCTCATAACCTTAATATTTGACTGAAGGGTGATAGTGTAAGGAGAAATTAGATGCCAGTCACAATTATGGGTAAAGGGGTTCAGTTGCCGTGAGAAATAAAAAATTGAGAACTGGACAATCACTGGTCAGAGTCTTCTTTGAGTAATGTTACGTTTTGGACCCTGCATGCAGTGAGGATTAACCCCTTAACTCCCACAAGTTATTAACTTGCAACTTCTCCATATAATATCTATACATCATCCAGCCACCAGGTTATGAGAATACTCAAACTTATCAGGAAGAAGTTGTTACCTTAATCTAACACCAAATTCCTATAACTTATTTACAAGGAATTGTGTGCCAGTTAGAGGGGAGAATTAACAATCAGATCTTGGGAGTAAAAGGGTTAAATTTTGCTGCTGCTCTTAAATGATCTGCATGTGGTTTGAAAATCTTGTAGATGGTCTACATTGATCAAGATTTTCATGTTCACATTTTCATATTCACATTTTGAGACAAAGGTACTGCATCTTAAATTTGTACCTCCACGTTTGACTGGATACTTTTTCCTGTCTGTGAACAATAAATACCTAGCAACATCAGATGTCTGTAAAAAAATATCAACAACAACAAAAAGAATCATTCAAAACATTCTATACATGGCAAAATAATGTGGCCAAAATCAAATGCACATAATGGAGAAAACAAGAGAGAGAGAGAGAGAGTTGACAAATGGACTCCACATTACCAATCCCAGATGATGTGATAATGTGATAAGAACAAAAATATCGCATACAAGGAGCAGCCAAGTATGTCAATGATGCTCTTAACATATTTTAGTGTCATCTGTGATCTGTTACTTTCCAGATCCAGAGTAACATGAACATGTTGTTTTAAATGATACAGAAAGCAAAATGTTGTCTGGTGACATCAGCTATGCATCTGCCCTCCTATCATGAGCAAGAACCATGAAAGTGTGCGTATATTACAGCTCATCATATGAAGACATTCAGCATACCTTTCTCTTCAATTCTTCTTTGGAGAGTTCTTTGTAGTTTTGTGTTTTCTGACTCTGAGATTTTCCAGTCTGTGTACAGTCAACCTCTTCTATTTCATCGTCATCTACTAGCTGGCTATTGGATTCAACAGAATTAAAAGACAAATAAGACGTAACTCTAAATCGTCGCAAAACGCAAGAGTGTTCACTTCTTTAATTTGAATTTGACCACGCGATCGAGAATACAAATCGGAAGTTGTCAGAGCTGGTTGTAAGTAGCTTGTATAGTTCATTAAACATACTAGGACGGGGTGGATTTTTATTTTGAACTTCTGTATTCCATAAGAGCCTTCCTCGTGGGAGAACAAATAGAGGAAAATTTATCTAGTATTTAACTTAGACGTACCTTACACCACGTCTTCGCGATTGGCTGGGCGGCGAATCTTCCTGTAGAAATGAAACACCGCATTTTACATCACATTTCTCAGCAATCAACTCGAGTAAAGCTCATAACGTACCTCTAGCTCTTCAATTCTTCTTCTTTTAGTTTTATCCTTCGCTTTGGGCATATTTTTTTTCGTACAATCCTCCCCTTAAACTGTGGGAGAACCACAAATTTTCAAGAAAGTCACAGAGACGTTATCATGTTTTTCCCGCTCTCTTCGCGCCAAACACACGCAAGCGCCTGTCATCCTACCAATCGCTGCTGACATGAGCCCAAAAGTTTGTTCCCAGTGCATCTAATTAGACGATGAACCTCTCGGCGATTAAGTCACAGACGAAAACACATTGCTTCCCTATCTCTCAGAGGTGATTCAGCTGTTTCTAACAAACGTTGATTAGAAATGGCTGTAGTCCCTAGAAAAAGGAATGTCATTAATGACACAACACCGATGATGTGCACAATCGAGGGAATTGCCAAGAAAGACCATGTGGTAAGAGTTGTATTACATTACAGCTAGCCGATAATGTGGAGCGTTTAGTTTTCCAATCATATTTGCATGCTTGATATATTTTGTTTTCCTTGTTGGTTTACCTCGTAGGATTATATTATGAAAGTGCAGAGGGGCATCAACCAAGAAGACTCGTGGCAGGTTTGTTAAGCTTTACATATTTGCAGTTTTAAAATTATTTTCAGTAATCGCCGGGTGTAGATTTTCCGGGTATTAATAAGATGTGCGACTCGACCTCTGTGGAGATTTGCGTCTCGTCATCGATCGAGATAATTAAGCGGAATTTTTTCCCGATAATTCAGGTTAACACGTTTACCAACAAATATTTTGTGATTGCTATTTCAATCACACAAACAACCACAGGATCTCGCTTCAATTTATTTCAATTTATCACGCCTGAAATTCCGAAAACTCCTTCGAAATCGTAACAAGCCCTATATACAACAGATTGCAAGAATTAATTGCAAAGCTTGTCCGATGTACAAATGGAAGTTTATTTTGAATTCAGATGTGGTCAAAGATATAGAGACAATTATTAAATTAAATCAATTATTAAAATTTGTTTTCTGCGGTTGAATAACATTTTGAGAATGAATTCGAAATGCTAAGTACTGATGCGATGTTTGAATAAAAGGTAACGTTTCACTGATAAAGGGGGAGATGGTTTGGGTAAAATTACAGAGTAACTATTGCTTTTCTAATGATCAAATTATTTTTTTTCCAAGGTTGCACACCGGTATAGTGATTTTGTCACTCTACAGTCAACCCTAGAGGTTTGTTACTTCTCTGGACAAATATATTGGTTCAGTGCATCATTATGTAATAGCTGGTTCCAAGAAAGGAACGTTAACCATGTAGAATGAATCCATACACACATTACATCTCTAATAATGTACATGGAAAAATTATGCTCTTCTGATTGGGCAATAACTAATGCATTTTCATGTAACACAAGTGCAAAGTTATAACACAAGTGCAAATTACAAAGAGCATGTCCATGGTTTCAAAATTTTCATCTGTCCTACCTTCCTGTGATGTTTTGTCACGTACATTATTAACAAGTGATAACATGATTTCTCTAGCAATTTGGTGTAATAAGCACCACAGGTAGCCCAAGCTCCAGCTGTGGGACAATCATCTTGTGTAATAAGAGTGATGAGTCATGGTGAAAATGCAAGAGTTTGTTTGGGAATATTTATGGCTGCTCTTAGGAATAAAAAAATACAGTCCAATTCTTGCTAAGAATACCCCACCTTACTTTGACAGTGCATTACTTGTTTTGTGACTGCTTACTTTGTTTCAAGGAACTCATTTGAGTAAGTTATCCATTTCTAGGGTTACTACTCTAAAGAGAAGTACACACTCCATTTTTGAATACCCAATTCAAGAAGCAAAAAAATCCACACTCAAAATGACTGGGTGACCACAAATCCAATGCAGAATCCAAGCACATATACTGTAGTTTAATTTCAATTCACTACCAACTCAATATTCCCCATGAAACGATGCTAAGCTGCAGTTTGCTTCCAAAATTTCCAGTTCAGAAGTTTTTAATGACCCACATACTCATTCACCATGACACAAGACAGTGAAAAACTAGTATGGTAACCCTGCCTCCTTTGCAAACTGAGCCTCACCAGGGACCACACTGACACTTGACATCAACAAATTGATGAAGTGACGATGTGGTTGTAAATATTCCCATACAGACTCATGTATTTTTGCCATGACTCATATTTTACAAGATAATCATCTCACAGCTGGAGCTTGGGCTGCCTGTGTAAGCACTACAATGTTTTTCAAAGAATACAAATTGCACTTGCCCTGCGTGCTTGTGCAATTTTTGTTGTCTTTGAAAAATTTACTTATGATTATTAACACCAAATTGCAAGAGAAATCATGTTATAACCTCTACTAACTTTGTGACCATTTTCAAATCAAACTAAATTTCAAACTCACAAGAATACTTTTTCAAGTCAGAATATAGAGGGATGTTAATACATCCAGAATAGGATCTTCTGGATTTTCTTTACCTCTTTCATAAGAAATGAAAATTCAGCTTTCAAGATCCTATTCTGGATGCCATAACTGATAAAATTATTTATCAGTTTACATATGCAAAATGTAATTCTGGTTTTTCCACCAGGGTGATTAAGAATGTCTGTCAACAGACAAAAGTTTTTATGTTCCCATGCACCTGTGTTCCTCTCCTTAGAGTTTCCAGACTCAGCCAAAACAGCTCATTGCTTTAAATTAAAGGAGTCGTTTGTGCAGTGGCCACTTGCAACCTAAACTGAAAATACAGATGAAATACAACTGTAATTATTTACCTCTAGGATTCAATTTCGTGCCCTCCTTCCAATGAATGCACCCTCTTTAATATGCACCCCCTTGAATTTGATTTAATTTGTTAATAAGAGCCCCTGTTCTAACAAGTGTCCCTATTGGTTAACCACAATCATTCAAATAAGCTTCCCTATTTCGTTTCCTTGATCGCCATCAGCTAGAGTACAGTTTCAACCATTTTTAATAATTAGGCAAATATTCTCTGTACATTTTTTACTTTTACAGTCTTTGATATTGTTCCTTTTCAAATAAACATAAAAGCTTTGTTTCAAACATTCTGCTGTTTGTCGAAAAAAAAAAAAACTTCCCTGTCCCTATTTATTCATTCATGTTTTGAATGATGATGATGTACCACATAGAAACAAAGTGAACATATATACAACACACTAAACTGATGATGACAGGAGTTATGGCGAAACATGTCTTAAAAAATGCTATTGTGCGTTTGAAATTTATTTTGTGACACTGTTTTTTTTTTACCATTTTTTATTGGTGTTAGTATCATCCATATCACCAACTTTTTTTATCTTGAGATTACATGTACTATATTTTACTGTACCACTGCTTTCTTTTCTTCTTAGGTCTCAGGTATTGATCTTCCAATGCCCCCGAAAAAGGTATTTGGCAACATGGATGCAGCATTTATTGCAGAAAGACAGCAAGGTCTTCAGGTATGGAAATACAGTTCCAGTAGCTGTTGTCTGATCTAAAAATGTAGAGGAGATTTGATATCTTAAAAAAAATTTACTGTCTAATGTGTGGATGGAAACAGGGGGGCAGGAGCATCGGAGATGAGAGAGGAAAGGGTGGGTGGGGGGGTGCAAAGGTTGTTGACCCTTTGTACCCTAACATGGGTATCCATATTCTCCATACTGTATCTCTATACATTTTGTTCTGTGTTGACAAGGAGAATTTGTTCACGTATCAAGTACAGTGTACTCTTATAATTGGCGATTATATCCTTTGTTCGTACTGATTCAGTAGTGATACTGTATAGAGAAATTGGATGCAAGTTACTCCTAGTCATGTAAAGATTAATGATGGGGTTGACTTGGATGCATCTCTTAAACAAACAAACAAAAAAATCAGATAAGAGGGAATTTTGAACAACTCAGTATTTTGGTAGTAATTTATTGATATTGTTGGTAGAGCTGTGTGGAATTGCAATTGGACTGTTGGGTCAAGTCTTATATTGCAGTACCATATCTTCAAACCCCATCAATAGCTATGTTTGTTTTGCTGTACATGTACATGTATGTTATATTAAAGAATTGGTCCATGCTAAGCATGCGTATATCTAGTTAGGGATGCACACAGGTAGTTAGGAGAGCTTGATGTAAGCATAAGAGTTGCTTGAGGTGCAGCTGAGAGCAACTTTAGCTTCTTGAGAGTTTTGAGTCCTTGTGACTAGTCTTGGTGGGAACTCTCAGCTGACTTGAAACTGCACACGTCATGTTATGGATGCATGGCCATGCAGTACATAAGGAATTTTTTACCGTGGTAGCTCCTTAGGAAATAGGTAGGCCTTGCATGTGGGCTATGTTAAAAGAACAGATACACATGTCAACTTTGTACTCCAGATACATGCTTGGATCACCGTTTTTCTTTCAGAATTATATCAACTTTATACTGGCCCACCCAATGTTAACAAGACACATTTCCGTGAAGAGATTCCTGGATCCCACAAATTATTCACATGACTTTCAAGGTAGATGTGTAATTAACTTGTCCATTTGAAGTGCATACGTGCACAGCGTTATCTTAATAACTTCACTCTATCACTTACACATTGTTCAGTTGTTCTTACACCCTCTAATGTGAAATTTCATTGTCAAAGCATCAAGTACTGTGCACTATATTTTTAAAAAGACCATTTCTTGCAAGCATTTTTTCAATCAGGTATTGGTAGGTAAAAGTGGTTTTAATTAATTAATCATTAAGTATTAATTAAATATTAACTGACTATATTTTCCCACAGAAACAGCCATGCAAAATGTAGCCATGTTTTTACGGTCAGTTCCCAATTGGGAAATAGTTGAACCTTTACCTGATGTTGGTGAGTTTTTTTTAATTTCTAAAGAATTGCAAGAAATAGACATTTTGTCTGTTCAAATTATAATGTTTTTTCCTGTTGTGGATTACCGCAGAATTTCGTTTTCATTCGCTTAAATGTTCATGCACCCCTCAGGTTGGCGTTTAAGGAAGCAGTTTTTCTTGATAAAGCCTACAGATCCTACAAAAAAAGATGTCAGGAACATTCTAACCTGGGTAATAATTTTTGCTGATTTTTACTGTAATTGTCAGAAATAAAAAGCCTTCATAGTAATCTATATGATTTTAATTTTCTTTCTTCTTCTAGACTGACTATGGTCCTGAATTTAGTTTGGATGAGAAAGATCTAGAAGCTATCTTAAAGTTATTGACCTCTTTACAGGTATGTATACTTCATTTATTATTTTTTGCTGTTAAGAAATGTTATACTCAATGAAAATATTTCTCACTGACTGACTCTGGAAACTGTATTATTTAGCATGTACCCTGTGTAGATTACCCTCAAAAAAATATTGCTGTTCAGAAATTATGTTCAGTACCACTCAAAAGAAAATTGATAGGTTTTTTTTTTGAAACTCAATCCCTGATCTCTGAAACTATTGCGAATCATGGATTGAGAATTGAAGCTGGAGGATTGAGGATATGAGAATCAAGGATCAAGCCACTTAAGGTGTAATGTCTCTTTTGAGGACCTCAATCTGCATTTTTTTTTTTTTTAGGAAAAAGATAAAGGGAAGAGATATATTTTTTTCATGGATCTCACTTTTCTGTCTTTTAGCATCCTTACATATACCCCCCTTCATTCACCACATGCAATTCCGAAGGAGTTATAGCTGTTCGTAATTTTGTCCCAAATGGAACACTTAGAGACTGTCTCTGTAAGGTACATGCATTCAATTGTTTGTTTGTTTGTTTGTTTTTGTTGTTTCTTTGCAAGTGTTAATTACCTTTGGGAATCTTTGTTGCTTTGATTGTATTTTTAAGTATTTGTTGCTTGAATGTTACAGGCCAAACCAAAGCTTAATCAACTAAAGAAATATGGAAATCCAAAATCTAGAGCTGTTTTACATGAACAGAACATTCAGCTGTTTGGAAGACAAATTCTAGAGGTATGGAACAGCAAAAAATGCTATCTAGATTGCAGCAGTAGTGGTAGGTTGAAACTAAAAATATAAACAAGAGTTAAGTTAATTGATTGAGATAAGCAAAGTATAAATAAAAAATGAATGCAAATGGACCAAAATGGAAAAAAAAAACCAATACTGATAATGCCTAATATATTACTGCCAACTTGACTTCTAAAACAGAGAGTGGTACCAGGCACGACATCATGTAAACTGACCTAAGAGGTGATTATGCATAAAAGTAACTGGCTTTAAATACAAGAGGGCTGCAATAGAAGAGAGCTGTGCGGTATGAGAAATGTGCGAAAAGGTGCAACTGACAAAGAAAAAGGCGAACAAACTTAACATAAAACGCTATCAAGGAGGTACAGTGTATGAAAAAAAGAAAGAAAGAAAGAAAGAAATATGAATCACATGAAAATAACTTAGAGAGTGCTTTGATCTTACAAGGTGAGAGAAAATTTATTCACAAATCTGACCTTGGGCTATTTGCAAGTGACAGCATGTGCTAATATGACAAAAGCTCACTGTAGTCTGTGTTACTGTTTGTTATTTCACAGGCATTAAAGTTTTTACATGATAAAGGAATTCCCTATGGTAAGCAATGCTCTCAGACTTTGCAAATGGAATGGAAATCTTTTTCCTTTTTAAACATATCTTGAATTAATCTAGTACAAAAATATGTGCAGTTGAGGCATTAGACACAAGGTTGTCTGATTTTGGCTGGGGACTTCAGAATGAGAGGATGCACCTTGAAGCCATAATGAAGGTCATTTGCAATGTGTTTGGGGGAAGTCACTTCAATTGCACAATGCCTCCCCCCTGTTCCTCCAAGGGGATGAATGCAAACCTGACAAAATGCAATAAATAGTATCTTTTCTATTAATTCTTGCACTCCCTTGATCCAGATATCAATTCTTAACACTGTGTGCAATACTTTTAATATGGATTTAGCTCTGAGGAATTTGGTGTTGAATCAGACAATAATTGATGTGTTTCTTTCTTCTCGACACCCTTCTGCCCAAAACTGTATCAGAACTGTAAGGAGAAGTTCTCTTTTGGTCACTGTTGGGATTAAAAGAGTCAAGGGAAGTAAATTACTCTTAGTGGCTTCATGTTAACCCTTCAACCCCCATGAGTGACCAAGACAGAAATTCTCCAAACAATATCAATACAATATCAAGCAGATAAGTGATGAGAATAAAGAAAAAAATCAATTAGGGGGATTATTAGTTGATCCAATACCAAATCCTCCAAATTTACATCACAAGAACCATATGGCAGACAGTAAGGAGAATTACTAATGAGATCTTGGGAGTTAAAGGGTTAAAGACAAGAGGATAAGCCACAGTAGTGGTGTAATTCAGTCCCCAATGTGCACTTCATCCTTTATTGGTCAAATGCAGGGTGCCAGGCCTTGAAATATATCTCCTACTTCCACAGGTCATTTACATTCAGGAAATATCGTTGTGGAAGGAAATATTTGTAGGTAAGTCTTTGTGCGGCTTGTATCAATGTATATATAAAAAAAAAAATCTGTTCAACTCCTAACTTCCACAATCTGATAGTTAATTCTCCCCTCAAGGTGCTCCACATTTAATTAATTACGAGAAATTTAGTGCTAGATCAAAACAACAACTTCTACTTAATAAGTCTGAGTATTTTCATTACCTTTTTGCTGGGTAATGTTTAGATATCATAGAGACAAGTTACATGTTAATCACTTCTGAGAGTTGAAGTCCTTGGTTAACTTCTTAACCCTTTAACTCCCGGGTCAAATTTGTATTTCTCCTTACTGTCAACCATACAATTCTTATAATGTTAGTTAAGAGAATTTAGTATTGGATCAACTATTTATCCCCAAATTGATATTTTTCTTTATTCTCATCTCTTTTTTGGTTGATATTGTATTGATATTGTAAGGAGAAATTATGTCTTGGTCACTCTTGGGAGTTGAAGGGTTAACAGTCCCTTCTTTCAACTCATTTTTTTTTCCAACAACAAATGATATCTTAGATCTTTCAGTTCAGGGTTATTGGTGAACTAGGTCTTTCACGTACCTCTTCGTGCTTGCTTAAGATGTATATGTCGTTCGAACCATTATCTCTACGTCCACACTCTCGGGCAAATGTCACCTTTTGAACAAAATTAAACAGTTTATGGATTGCTAAATGTTATAATATTCTAATTAAATCACAAGAATTCGTAAAAATAAAGGTTTCGTTACTCTGTCTTCTAATTTCAGATTACTAGAAATCGAAAATGGTCTCTTGGGCATTCCATCAATTCACAGACATCGTTACGTTCCCATGAAGAAAATACAGGTATGTAACTTTTACACGAAACAATTTATTTGCTGTTTAGTTCTGCCCATATTTTACCAAAATCTTCCCCAATTTACGTGTTAAGAGTCTTTTGATAAGACGCTCCCTAGTATAAGAATGTCGTATCAGTTTTGGACAAGACTAAATTTCTGGCAAAAAAAAGTTGTTTTATGTATAATCTAATTGAATGTGCACCAATGAAGAAAACTTGCCGGTAAAAATGACGATTAGTTAGGAGACGGAATCTAGTTATGAAATGAATTTTCTTGTGAAGCTAAGTCATTGTTTTCATGCATTTTATTTCAATGCTGTAGGAGAAGGAATCAGAAGATGTTTACTGTTTCGCACATTTGTTGTACGAGATGGCTTTTGGTGAAGCACTGCGAAGCAGCACACTTCAAGATGTCCCTCCAAACTGTCCATTACAACTAAGTAAGTGTCGTTTAACAAATTCAACTAGTCTTGTATGAAATCGGTATTTTAGTTTTAAAATAGGCTGGTACAAGTAGATATGTTTCATGGGTAAGTTTTTCCATAAGCGTCTGCCAGTGGTGCAATGCGCTGCTTTACCCGTAAGTTGCTGCAAGGTTAAACCCTAACACAAGAGCCTGCTTCCAGGCCGAACAGACGGCGGTAAGAGGTCTTGCAGGCGGTGGTAGACCGCTGTCAATCTGCTTTTATTGAAACCGTTAGATGAGACCTACAGTTCTATGTAGTACTAAGAGGGAGTTTCAAAAGAAGATCGAAAATGATCGGTTACAGCTTCGGTTTTGCTTTACTTCGCTCCGTGATTGGTCCAAAAAGCTCGCGCCAACTTCTCAACCAATCAGGTTTGAGACTCAACCCAACCGCGCCTTTGTCTCACGCGTTTTCCCGCGCTTCAGTCAGTTTGCTTGTTTATACGATAGTTCTCATTGGCTACTTGATGATACTTTGGATTTATGACGCTCTTTCTGAACATTGTCCATTAACAAAGCTGAAGGTAATTGATCGGATACTTTCGGTGTGTAGTCAAGAATCAAATCCTTTAAGTGACCCTTCAAGTGCTTGTAGTGGTAAATTAATGCATTGCTCGTGTTTGAATATACAGGATCAGTGTTGCTATCCATCCTAAATGACGAGGCGTGTAACAAGACAGGACTTCCGACTGTTGCTGATCTTCTTGCGAATCCGTAAGTGTGAAAACTGTACCTGTGTTCCTGTGACATGCGTGGAAGAGAACCTATTGTTTTGTTTTTCTGGGGTTGTTTTTCTGGGGTTGTTTTTCTGGGGTTGTTTTTCTGGGATTGTTTTTTCTGGGGTTGTTTTTCTGGGGTTGTTTTTCTGGGGTTGTTTTTCTGGGGTTGTTTTTCTGGGGTGAGAGAGGAGCAGGAGAAGGAGAGATCCTTGGAGCAAGAATGAATGGGAAGAGTAACTAAGTTCGTTTCCGGGATCTCTCTCTCTTCCCTATGGTGAGGTGTACCGTAGCACTTATGTCCTCTTATTGTAGATATGTCCTCTGACGTAATGTGATACAGGGGCCAATCATATCCTGTGATCTATCGAGCGACACGCGGCTCGAGACTGGTTAAGAGACTTCGTTGTAGTTCTGTCTTCAAGCAAAAGTACTCATTCAAGGGAGTCGGAATAAGTGGAAAATTTGACCAGTATTTTCCGGTAACAACGTATGAGCAACCTCCAACTGATTTCAGGAAAGCTTGCTATCCGCATGTTCTTTGCGAACCAGATACACACACATTACTTTCCTTGAAGTTCTATCGTTCCTTCTTTAAGGCCGTGTGGAAGATGGGCAAAAGAAGGAGAGTACCTAGGAGCAAGAATGAATGGGAACCCTTAGTAATGAAGTCTAATCCCTTGCTAATTGAAGAGTGTAATTTTCAACTAAGTAGAGCTGTAATTCGTGTCAAATCATTCCCTTGTTTTCCAGATTTTTTGCAGCCATAGACTTCCCAGCTGGTGATAAGCCTCAACTAAAGGTAAAATTAATTTTCTAGCTCGGAACGTTTGAAATAATCCGAGGCTTCTTAACCTTTCTTTACTTCAAACCGTGATTGGTGTAGATAACTCACACAACGCTCTCGAATAAACTCTGACCAATCAGATGCAAAACTCAAACTAGCAGCGACTTGGTCACTCGCGTTTCCCGCGCTTTTGGCAGCTTATGTGGCTTTTCTTTGAGCTTTGATTGGTTAGTTTTGTTTACTTTTTTTCCTGATTGGCCGTTGCTATTGCTTTAGATCTGGTTTTTACGAAAAAGCGAACTAAGGAATATTAAAGAAACAAGAAGTACATTTGTGGAACATTGATGTTTTGGATGGTAAAAACGCTTGTGAGCTTGGTGAAAACACTGGGAAAATGGACGTTTTTAATCAAATTTACTTAAGTTTAAAGAACAAAATGTTTGTGAGTGAAGTTCAGTATTTGCAAAAGAATAGGAATTTAGCTGTAACTGGTTTCTTATCAATGGTCAGTACGTACTGAATTTTCTTCGGTGTTGATCATATTGTTTTGTCTTATCCTTGTAGATTCCAAGTAAATTAAAAGAAGCCTTAAAAACAGCCAAAGATCGAACTGAATCTAAACTCAAGGAGGATCAAAAAACGGTAGAAATGACCGCTACTTTTTAACTATAGGGACACTAAGCAGTCAGGACGGCGACAACGAGGATACGTCCATATTAAAGTGAATTTAAATTCTACTTTGAAAGTCTACGAATGACTGGATGTGTTTACCATCTCTAACGGCACCAGACCTCAGCTTTCAAAATTTTTGAAAAAAGTCGTACTTCACTCTGGAATCTTGGAATCGAACCTGGGCTTCAAAGGTGACCCGGGTTCGATTCTAGTTTCTGAACAATGAATTGCATTTGATTCAAGGACTCGTAACAAATGTAATCTTTGTTTCTACACATGAACGTGCGATACGATAATTTTCCTTTCATTTTTCTCTTCAGTTACGACAGTTCCGGAGAGCATCTAAAGCGCATGCCTACCACATGTCAGAGGAAGAGAAGAAGAAGAGAAAGAAGTCCGCAAAGAAGGTGGAGATGATTTCTTGATCTTTTGTTGTGTTCTTTTGACGTTTCTTAACCAGCACTTGTCAACATTGAGTGTCCGCGTTTTTCCAAAATAACAAATTGTGATATTTATATTTAAGATAATAAACTCTCTAACTCCCAGAAGTGATTAACTTGCAATTTCTCCCTCTAATATCTCTACCTTATCCAGCAAACAGGTAATTAGCTCACTCAGACTTTTCAGGTTAAAGCTGTTATCTTGATCTAACAGCGAATTTTTGTAACCGATTCACAAGGAAATGTGTAGCAGCTAGAGAGGAGAATTAACAATCAAATCGTGGGAGTCAAAGGGTTTTTATACTTTCTTCCATTTACTGCTTAGATAAATTGATGGATGCTCATCATAATCGTAAAAGCTGATTAATTGTTAATTTAATCGACCTGCTCTATGGAAAGGGTGGTTTCCAGTTTTCGTTTTTTTAACGAGATGAAAAGTAGGCACACAAGGTGTTTAATTTTCATTTTATTATTATCATTATTACTATTATTATTATTAGTGCTAGTATAATTTGTTACAGGAATAGCATGCTAGCATAGTGCTCAGAATGCATTATACAGATTGTGTGTTTAGTGTAGGTAAAGTAGAGGATTGTTGAGGTGTATCTGTTGAATAGGAAATATGAAAGTTACAAGTAGACGATAATATTCCTTTTGTTACAGATATGAATATATACTATTTTTGTTGTTGTATTTTTACAAGAACTACCAGGTGTTAAATTACCGTCATACTTTCATTGTGAATAGATTTTAAGTGTAGAAATAAGTGTCAGAATGTAAAATTTTTGAGAGTCAGGTCGCCCTCTTTCGAGGAAGGTTTTGGAATGTCACGCAACGCCCTGTGACATTCTAAAAACAAAGGAGGAAAGCCAGCGATACGTCAGTGAGCCAGCCAGTTAACGAATCAGTCTTCAAGCTAGCCAGTCTGTGTTTACATATTCTTGAGGTAGTCAAATAAACAGAGCCAGCTAGTCTATGACTCAGTTCAATATACTGATCTGTGAAAAGGGTCCAAATGTCTGAGGTAGATTAGACCAAAAACAGAACAGAGTTTGATAGCTGTGTATTAACCATTCGTCTTAAAAAAAAAAAAAAATAGGTAAAGATATCGCCGCCACAATCATCATTTATCGTCATTGTTATTACATGTATAATTTTCATTATCAAAGTCTTTTTTGTCAGTCGTGATTTCTCCACTTCCTTGCTGAACTAACGTTTTATTTAATTTCCAATGTTCAGTCTTTTTCCTTGCCCTCACTTCATCTCCATGGCAACGTCTTGACTTTCGGCCACATTAACATGCTCACCCTTAAACTTGTCTCTACGATCATAACCGCACCCCTCCCCCATTTGCCTCCTTCGTCTCCTCTCTTGTTACCCTTAGATTTGACAATATTGATCTTGCTGTTATCATCATAGCTCCACAAAGTTCGCCCTTTTCCCTTGTTTCTATAGCATTTAATGGCATCTTTCAACTTTTCACAGGATTATTTATGATCGGTTTCTTGTTTTATTTTGTTTTTTGTCCGCACAAAACTTTGCCCCACCCACTCCTCCCTTACCCATCGTTGTTTATTTCCTTTCCCCGCAGTTGCAGAAGGAGGCATCCCTATCGGACACAACACAGACAACAGGTAACAAACTTTTATCAACCTTCTGTGAAGATTACATGGATCTTGAATAACTAAAGCATTCATAGCAATTTCGTTTTGACTTTTAATTTGACAACGGTTCACCGAATACTGTCACTTCGAAGAACTCGAGGGTCTCGGTGTTTAAATCCACGTAGTTTGGCCTCAAGCTCGCAGTGGCAAGGTCGCCATGTCAGTCGTGCAGATTTCAGCCGTTTCCGTCCAATTTGAACGGTTTCATCCTAATGTAGATTGCTCCGTCCACTTTTTTTTCCTGCTCCGTCTGATTTTGGAAGTTATCTTTGGATTTTTTCAACAAATCTTGGAGATGTGAGAGAGCGTAGGGCGATTTCAATTTTTTTTATTCAGTTTTTACTGAGCAATTCGCCAAATGTTACCACGTTATTACTGCTTAATCATTAGCGGTGCTAGAGACTAACTGAAAATCATTTCTTGATCAGCACGCCCGCCATCCTCTCCTTCGCCTGCTCCTCGAACTCAAACCTCTGGTACGTTTAAAAGCTTCTTTGTAGTTAAGATAAGCTTATTTACACTGTGTTTAGGTCCGGGTTTACACGTTAATGAGGTGTTATGGTGCAAAAAGATCATTAGAATTACTGTTGTTTGTTTTCTCTGCTCGACCGTAAAAAAGCTAAAATTCACAAAGAAAATCTAGTGCCACGCCTCGTCTCGTCTCGTCTCGTCTCAACCCACCCTCTTCAAATATCTAAACAACTTGAATTCCTTATATGAATTACCAATTAGTGAAAATGTTACAGCATATTATACCCAGGAAAATTAACTTAACACAGCTGTTGTTCGCATAATTCGAAAACTTTTGCTGTTATTCAAATTTAACTCAACTTAACTCTGGTTTTGTTTTCCTTTTTTTGTAGCCATACCACCTCCGCCCCAGGCCCCCGCGCCACCACCTCCACCTCCTTCCCAGCCTCCTGCTCAGAAAGCTGCCCCTCCGCCAAAATCATCAGAACGAGGCGCATTATTAAGCTCCATCTGCGATTTTAAGAAAGGCAAATTAAAAAAGGCTGAGACTAATGACAAAAGCAAACCCAAATTATAGGGGGGTACAATTTAATATCATCGCTTGAAACCAACTGGCCAAAATGGTCCACTTATAAGGATAATTTGGCTATCACTCCATATTTTCTTCTCAAATTCTGCTCTCAAGATTTAACATGACATAAATTATTGGTGATTATAATAATGACGTTAACAGCAAAGATGTAAAGTCCCCAAGAACATTATTATATGTGTGTTCGTTTGTTTTGTACTGTGTGATTTGGTTTTGTTCTATTTTTCGAATTATTATTATTACTATTATTATTATAATTAATATTATCGTCAATGTTATCGTTCATGTCATATTATTTTTCGCTATGATTGAACTGCCTGGCCGAGAGGCTCCGATGATAAGCGCCCGTTGAAGATCAGGAAAGGTGTTAGGTATCCGTTCTAAGATTAGATATTATATTTTCATGATACGTTGAACAAATTGGTTTTTTGTTTCGTTTGTTTTTTTTTATGGCAGTTAAAGCTGACGCAGCGTAGCTTTGTGCAAATTGGATAACTTTCTCATCAAAACTAGGAAGACAAAAATATCAAAATCAAAGAAAGGATGATTCTGCTTTATTATGTAAAGTGGCATACCTCGAGAATTGATGGTTAGCACCAATTACGTTAGACGCAAATCTAGAACCTAGCCGCGAATAGGAGAACAATCTTGCTGTTTTAAAAAATTAAGAAAATGTGATCTAGTTTAGTGGCAGCCATTGTGGATCTTATTCGATGTATGTTCCAACAATGCAAAGTTATTTACCTCTTTAATGGTGCACCTGATTTATCCTGTGACTGTGAAAATCTTCTTTTGTTTTAGTGTCCAATAATTTCCAAATCCCCTTAGCTTGAAAGAAATGCTTCAATGATGTCCAATGTCACATGTTTACAGTACGTATAAAACTTATTTACGATTAACAAATGCTTTAGTTCCATTCGCAATGTTACGTTCGTTATGTGCGAAAAGTTTTTATGGTCATTCCAGTTACTTTTTCGGACTCTCTCTCATTCTCGTTCCCATAGCTCAATGGTTTTCTCTAGCCGATTGGACCTTTGCACGAGAAACCAAGAGACTTTGGGGACGGGAGTGGTTCTTTTTGTGAAGGAAAGAGAGAGCCTGGGAACGAAGCTGTCTTAATTATGCACGCGGTAGTAGTGATAAATGCTAACAGCGCTGAAGATGCTGGATGTGAAAATCTCAATTTTTAGTACAAGTGTAACCAAAAAATTTATTAATTAAACGAAAATTAGAAATAAATAGCACGAATGATTTAGTTATCTCCTAATCTTGTACCCAGATCCTACCGTTTAACTATAACTGAAATGTACCGAAATCGAACTTTACTAGACCTTTATACCGCTTGGCCGTGGAAGGTCTAGGTACGAGACTAACTGTCTCCTGCTGACGTGCTCTTATGGTCATTGGAATTTGGGGCTGACTCGTCTCCAGTCTTCTTTCGTTGTTGTTGGGAAGGGCAAGGAAGACGGGATGGAACTGTACAACATTGATCGAAGTTTGTGTAAGCAAATTAAGGTAACCTTAAAGCCCAATCAAAAGAGTGGAAAATATCACAAAGAGCCAACGAGAATTCAAAATAGATTTAAAAATAAAAAAAGAAACGAAATATGCATGAAGGGAGGGAAACGGCTGAGATTAGTTAAGAGGTTTGCATCTGATTGGTTGAAAAGGCAGAGCGAGTTTTCTGGGGTAACATGTGACGTCGCCCCTTTACACGGTTACCCCAAATTCCGTCGCCCCCTAGTAAAGTTCATTCGCCCTGAAGTATGGTTGCGTCGCCCCTAACTTAAGGTTGCGTCGACCTCAGCTTCTGACCTAAGTTAAAAAAGATTTCAAACGTGTTATCTTTCTTTGGGCGGACTAGAAAGCGGGAGAGAAGACAGCACTCCTACTCTTAAGGCCTGTTCCCACCTCACTGGACAAAAAGGAGTACAAAAGCAGGTCTCGTCAAAACAAACATTAAATGGTTCTTTTAGAACCATTCTTAGCTAAATTAAGCAAACCCAGCAACCCCATAAATCACCTCACTAAAACTTACTCAAAAGACAACCACACCCGGTACCTTTGCGACGCCGACGTTTATTCATTCTTTAACAAAACCTATGAGCATGCGCATATTGGCTACTATTTCAGAGTGACATCCAAGCTAGTAGATACCATAACCAATCCACGTACATAAACTTGAAATATATGTTACAAAAAGGCTAAATACATGTGAGTCCGTAAGCATTGTAAGTAAGGAATGCGCTATATACAATGATGCTGTAATAGTCCATTTTACAGCTGTGTGTGTGTGCCAAGCCTTTGAACAGGAGTGAGTCTAAGGGTGACCTTGTTATGATACAAACCTTGCTGCTTTTCAAGTGTAAATTGCTTTGATATTACGCTAACTAGATACTGGTCTCTATCACAACAATGTCATCTTCAGCCTCACTCAAAATCAACGGCTTGGCAACTAAGTACATACCTGTAAAATGGCCTATTGCTATAAAGTGCAACCAAGATGCCACGCATCAGCTATAAATACAAACAAACAAACCAAGAAAGAAATAAAGGAAACGGAAAGATCGTTCTCCGCTTCAGCCACTAGTTAGGTGGTTAGATTGTTTAGTCATAGTAAATCGTTTCTTCTTCTCGAAAAAGGGGGGGGGGGGAAGAAGAGGGGGTAAGGGGAGGGAAGGGTTGAACGCACTTCCTTACGCTATACCCTGCTTTTCAGCTCCAAGCAATTAGCGTTATATCTAAGGTTGCACTCCATAACTTCATGTCGATATAGATATTTTCATCACCCCCGCGATGATCTAATAAAGTAAGCTCTTCTAACGGTAAACGACGCGAAATGCTACTCACGTGAAGGAATGTAAATGACGTGTATTCTATAAAAGAGACTTCGAGATGGCTTCAATATTCTTTGATTCGAACCTGGAGAACTGGGTCTTGTGCATCGAATTGAGGCTTCATATTCTAAACCAAAATCCCAAGTCCTCTACTCCTGTTATCATTTTGCTCTTTTTGTAATAAGAACGATAATAATAATATATAGTATATAAATTCAAATCTAAATCTATTCTTTCTAAAACCTAATCCGATATATTTCCTTAAACGTTAAATGAAAAGCAACGCATTGTATCCGTGAAGTGTTACACTTTCATTAAGCGATGTTTAGATATACTTTTTAAGCTAGCTTACATTATCATTTTAGAATGCAAAGCCAATTTATATAAATAGGAGATTCATTTTTAAGAAAATGTAGAATGTTCTGAATCATTGTCAGTACATAGGCAACTGCGCACCTACCCCTCCCCTAACCCAGCAATAGTCAACTGAAAACAACTGAGGGTTAATGTAGGGTTAGGGGAGGGGAAGGTGCAGAGTAGCTCAGATACTGACATTGATCCAAGAGTTTTAACTATGGCGTTTACTCAGAGAGTTTCCCAAGGGTCATGAAGGCCTAACTAGTCCGTTAGCTCTTGTTTTACACTAGTTTCGCATTCAGATCCCATGTTGAGCAACGCCTCAGGCGAATTAAATCCTCCAGTCTCCTCAGTTTCCATATCTTGGCTCGTCCCAGGGAAAAGATCTTCTCGCAAATCCTCTTTCGCGTCACCCTCTTTCGCACCAGATTCTTCGGCTGTTACTTCGTTTTCGGTCGGCCCCGATCCGTTTTCTTCGGCATCAGCAGCCTCCTTCTGTGTCTTATCATCGGAAGGCGAGCTGTTCTCGGAGATGCTCGACAATGTTGCCGACGGTGTACTCGGACCCTTTTGTTTGGCGTGCCATCGTTTATGTTTGTTGAAGTTCGACGGGTCACTAAATTTCCTCGGGCACTCCTTGCACTTAAACGGTCGGTCGCCAGTGTGAACTCGGACGTGGATTTTTAAACTGCTAGAGCTGAAGAAAGTTTTGTTACAATGCTCACACTTGTACTTCTTTTCACCGGTGTGCTTAAGAAGGTGTGACTTGAGAGAAGTGTACTTGGTGAAGCTGGAGTTGCACTCCTCGCACGAATAATTCTTTCCTGTGCGGGCTACCTTACCTCCCCGCTCTTCTACGTAAGCGTCATTGAGCTCAATATCACCTCCAACCAGTTGTGTACCTTCTTGAAATTCACACACATGCAGTCGCAGTTCCTCTGCTTCGTAGAAAGTAGCACTGCACCTTGAGCAACTGTAGGGCTTCTCCGAATTATCTTCTTGAGTATGCGACAACAAGTGCACTTTAAGCCGATCGCCTCTCGTGTACTGCTTCCCACAGAAGTGACACACGTGCGGTTTCTGACCACTGTGACGTAGCATGTGACGTTTTAGATCCACGGCTTGCGTGAAGCGGCGGGAACAAACGTGACACTCGAACGGCCGCGCACCCGTGTGCACCAGAAGATGGCGTTTTAAACGGCTAGAGAACGAAAACTCTTTGTCACACTTTTTACATCTGTAAACCTTCTGACCAGAGGACGTCACAAACTCTTCTGTAAGTTCTTCTTCTGTTAGGCCAGTTTCCTTTGCACGCACGGGTCGACCTACATCAAAAACCAAATGGCGAATCGTAAGGAAATATTATATTTTACTGCTAGACGTATAATCCTTTCAACTCTTTTTTAAGCAATACCTCAGAAGTTTCACTTGACGCTCCGTTTATTTATTTGACTCTAGAGACATTTTAAAGGAAAATAAAACACCCTTAAGAAATTCGGATCAACGTTAGTATGTGAACAACTGTACACCATCCCCTCCCCTAACCCAACATTTACCCCACCTTGTTATCATTTGACTGTTATTGAGTCAGGGGAGGGGTAGGTGCACAATTGTTCAGATACTGACATGGATCCAAAAAGGATTGATCCCAAATTTGTATGACAAAATGTCTGGGTTTTAGTAAAATACTTTCGATAATCCATAGTAAAAATTTCCGTTCTGTTGCTTTGCCAATCGAAAATAATCTTTTTGACTGTGCAGCGCCGTGTAAGAATTTTTTAATAAGCTACAAAGGTAACGCAATTATGAAGAAGAGAGGAGAAGATAAAAGGATGCCATTTCTAGATGGCTTAAGGACAGAGCTTTCGGTGGGAAGCTTGTTTGATATCTAAATACAAGACACGTACCTCTGTCCTTAAGATGCACCACAAGTGGTGGAGGCTGTCCCAGTCCATTTTTGCTCCTCGTCATGTGGACTGGAGCCTGGGGGGAAGCAGCTGGTTGAATAGCCGTTAGTCCTCTCAGCCTCGACCCAGTCCATTGTTGGTCGACGTGTGACGAGCCCATACTGGGTGCTGGAGACGACTGATTGGGGTGTTGGTGGGAAAGAACTGGTGCGGGGTTCACCACTGCTGCGGATGGCATCTGCGCATAGACGCTGGTCGCCATGGTCGGCGGGTTCACATTTTCGGCCTGTTCACTCACCGTTCCATTCCAAGAGTTGAAATTAGGCGTAGGTTGGACTACCACAGGACTATGCGAGCGTAGAGCTTCGGCAACAGAGATACTAACAACAGGGTTGGAGAAGTCGTGGAAATTAGAGGTGGGAGGGGCTTCTATATGAACAGGGAAGGATGATGGTGGGACGCTGTAAACTTGTTCTGGAACGACTACTGGAATATCCGGACTCACGGATTCTCCTTCAGAGGAGAAGTTGGACACTCGACGAGCGATCCCTTTTCTGTCGTGTTTCCTGCAAACAAAAAAATAAGTACACATTTAACCCTTTCAATCCGTAGATCTGATGAGTAATTCTCCTTTCTTGCTTCCATTTAATTCCAAACCGGTTAATAAGAGAGTTTAGGGTGACATGAAGATGAGGCAACTCACTTTCGCTGATAATTTTCCTTTATTCCTATCACCTGACAGCATTATAATGGAATGATGTTGCAAAGAGATACTAAAATTAAATCAGGTCTCTTTAATTACAACTTGAAAGAACACTTTAAGGGTATTTAAGGGTATTTTAGTCTTAGAGCGATTCTTTCAAGAGACTGTTTCGATGAAGGATTTAGAATTAGCGACAGAAACTACATGGCATCGGAACCCAAATAAAGAAAGAGTAACCTCCTATAGTTGAACAATCTTTAAATTTTCCTTAACGCGAAACCGGAATTTAATGACTTGGAATTTTTGGTAGAACAGGGAACGCTTATCTACAATCTTATCAGATTAAATTACCTTCGTGTGGGACTATGAATGGAGCTATTCTCATCAGGACTATCAAAAACCTGCAGAAAAACATAATGGAAATAACGTAGGTATTAATAAATACGAAAAAGTGACTAGATCGAGCGAAAATAAGAACGAACGAACTGCTATAAAACAAACAAACGTCGAGGGAGAAATGAAGCGAGCGAAGGAACAAATGAACGAAGGAAAAAAGGGGTAAGTTTCTTAAGAAATTGTGGTATTGTGTCGGTAGTGGTATAAATAGATAATTTGGTTTATCAACTGAGTTGATAGTTTAACTTGGCCGACGTAAAGAGTTTCTAAAACTGACGTTTCGAGCTTTGGCCAGGCCTCAGAGCGAATAGAAAGAAAGGAACACACGAATAAACAAATCAATTAAAAAACGAGCGTTTTAACAACCGAACAAATGAAACAGCGAACAAACAACAAAGAAATAAATGAACGAGCGACCAAATAAACAAACTGCAAAACGAACGAACGAGTGGCTTTTTTTTTTTCAGACCTATCTTCGGGCTTTTCCCGATCACACTTAACGGACCACTATCTACCGTCATTACCTCTCCGTTCGTAACAGGACTGACCGCACTTGTCTGTCCGTGAGTTTGAAGCTGAACACAGTCCTTGGCTGCTTTGTGTTTCAGGTATTTCTGTAGACTGGTAAACATTCGTTTGCATTTCCCACATTGGAATAGGTCTGGTTCGCTTTCCTCTCCCTCGGACTCATGCCCTGAAAAGAAAATATGAAACGAGCTAACAACTGAGCTAACAATACCTATGGTTTCATGGGTTCAAATCCCGTACAGGCCTAAATTTTTTTCAGGCCTTACTTTCACTACTGCTCAAGTAGTGTACATTACTGCGAGGATCACTTTCATTCACGTCTTTATCTGCAGTTCAAATATATAACTTTTGTATATTCTTAGCCGTTTACATTACCTAAAATACATCACTTACGATACGTTACTTTCAATGGCCTGTAAGCAGCTTTTGCTCTATAATCGGTTTTACAAAGAACGCAATTAGAGAGGACTTGTGCCAATTTGTGATTGGATAGAGTCGTTCTTTTCTGACTTTTCTTTTCCAGTCAGAGAAAAGAGCGAATATTTAAGCGCACTAAGTATTAAATGCAACAGTTTGCCACTAAGAAATAGATGTATTTCATTTTGATCTGATTTTATGCCATACTTTTTGGTAATAAATTTCTGGTACTCGTTGAAAAGGAGGGGAAGCCTGGGTACAACGTTTTCCCTAAAATTTTGATTAACATACCAAGCAAATAATCGTCTCATGAATCTAAAACGTACAAATCAAATGCGATACGAACTAAACAGCGAATTGTTCGAACATAACTGGATGGCCTCCTGATAGCTATGGATTCCGGCTGGCTTTCCTTTGGCAATTTTAAATATCTCTCATTAAATGTCTGATCTATGATCGATCTTTTATTTTCTTCCATTGTTGGCTGTAAAAAATAATTGAAACCACTACAAAACACTGAAACAGCCTTCACGAAATACTAAAATACGTTGTTGTTGTAAATTACGAAATAAATCACTTTCTAATGTCTTTTCCAAGCAAAGTACAATAATTTCCGTACCACCTACCCCTTCGACAACCTTTAGGCAAGTTGAATACGTAGATCTTGGTTTTCTTTGGCATAATTACTGTCGAAGTTCTGTTGCGAGACACCGTCATTATCATAAACACTCATCTCTGGCCAAAGGCGATCGAAGTTTCACTTATTGTAGCGAACAGTGCACTCTGGGATTGTATTTCTACTTTCGCATAAGTTCGTGATTACCCGAGTAGAGGCCGGAAATTTAACTGACCAATCACTAGACTGTACGAACAAACGAAATCGAAGCCGAATGATAATACGACTGTCTTTCATCCAACATGTTTGAGAGGTTTACACGTGCGGTCCAGTTTGTTTCATTCGTATACTAATTTTTACCATCTTTGATAAGCGACTTTGTTAGTAGAGGTGAGTTAGATCAACCAAAGAACCCTCTTTAATTAAAGGTTGATTGAATAGCTTTTTTTTTTTTTGATGGGGCAATTTTGAATAAGGATCGAAAGTCTTTAATCGATTGTTCAAATCGTCAACCAGATCCAGTAGCAATTTTTCTTTCCTTTGAATCTGTAACAGTGTGAAACAACTGTATTGCACTTAATTAATGTTACAGAAAGAGCGACATCATTATTTTTGACCAGGCTAATGACTACCAAAAGCTTTGACTGGCAGAAAAGGACGTGTTATTGAAGTTGATAACCTAATTCTCAAATTAAATTACAAAAGGAAAAAATGGAAAAAGCGAAGTAAATGTTTGCTTTTTTTTTATTCGTATGTATAGATCTATAAACAAGTTTGCTTATGATACAGACTAATTTCAAAAGGTCACAGTTATCATTGTTTCACAGGATGGAAATAAGAATTGCTAGTCATTAATGCAGGAGTAGTATAAACCGTATTAAATATAATTTCCTTGTTATTTAAGCATGGTAATCTGGTTGTATATGAAGTTTGGGACTCTCCCAAGGATTTCATGATGTAGAAAATAGCAACAAAGAACTTTTCTTATTACACATAACATCTGATTACTCAGGATGGTGTAATTGTTAAGCATGATCAGTCAAACATTTCACACAAATTCTGACCATAATCAAAACTATGACAAAATTCTTGAACGTGATTGGTTATCACCAGCTTGATTTGAGCACTTATAGGACAGTGTACGAATCATGCTTGTAATTGGACAGTGTAATAGGACAGTTAAAGGGACAGTTAACACATTATACCTATGTAAGTGGACAGAATGCATCATGAGCGTGCGCTGTTGTCTCGCATTTTGCCGAGTTAAGAGTTTTTTTTTTCATGAAAATGTACAACCGATGTCTAATTTCTTTCTCAAATTTTGTCATAGTTTTGATTAAATGGTATCAGGACTTCATGTCATCTAATTCTGTATGTAATCATACTCACGATTAACAAATTGGACTCCTGCTTTGTGCTCATCCAATTTTGTTAATCATTTGTATGATTACAGATGGAATTGGACTCCACTTGGTCCTATTACCATTATTTATAATTTCTTGATGAGATACAAATTAAGTTTAAATGGTCTTAGTTTCCTAGTGTACCACCACTTAAAAGGTGAAAAATTTTTGTAATTCTCTGATGTCCATATTTTAGTCTCTCTGACCTAGCTTGCTTTAGTTGTACTTCAGTTGTAGGTTAATTTTGTTAGTGATTTCAGAGAAGGTTAGCTTGTGTGCTGGCTCTTATTGTTGCTGTGGCACTTGCAGCCAAGCCCCTGAGACTTGAGGTGGCAAGAAACTGTAAGGCGTTTAGCACTAGAGTTTAACACTGCTTAATGCAGTCTACTTAAGAAATTGTTAGTGTGCAGAATGCAACCATCGATTTATGGATGTATGCAGGAGGATGTTAAAGAAGTGTTAGAGTCACACAAGGTGATAGCGAAGTGCCATTCTAGTTTTTTGAGCACTAAGCAAACCTTCCAAGTGCTTTTGATAACTTGATGGTTGAATGCAGCGTTCTAACCATTACTTAAGTAACATTGAGACTTTTAAACATCTTTTGTTTCATTTAGAAAAAAAAGCAAAACAAAGTGATTTCAGCTTGCAACCCACAGGCATGGATGAAGTGTTTTAGCCAATCAGAGTATGCTCTTTTGTAAGGTTATGTTATAAAAAGTGTTAATGGATATGGCACTTTTGAAATCCTTCATTATCATTAATTAATCTTATTGATATATTTCACATGGTCACTTAAAATGCCAGCCCAAAATGCCGTAGCTGCTTTTGTTGCAGCTCCTTTGAGAGCCCACATACAGGCTAAGAAAGGGTTAAAAAAAATCACCAAGTCACACAGTTTGTGATAACAAAATCAAATATTCAGTCTTACCTCCATTTCCAAGGTGAAACATGACATTGGAATGGTCTATTCCTGAAATCTAGAAAAAGTGGAAATGCAATTTACTTGAAGGCTGAAGACCTAAGATTCAGAGAATCACAGTGATGATAGATTTGATCCAGTTACAGCTCAGTTTATATATATGGGATTTTATTTCCTTAGTAACAGTCCACAGACATTAGTGTTGAGTATAAATGGTTTTTACAATGTCATTTGGTCTATGATTGTAGTGGTTTTCTTGATATTGTTTACTTCAATGTGATGTTTTTTTTACCCTATTTAGAGGGTCTCGATTTGATTGACCATTAGGCCTTGGTTGTTCGAAGGTGGGATGACACCATGGATAATGCTATCCAGTGGATGGTGCAGTACATTTTGCAATCACTTACCAGCTGGATAGTAATTTATGCATAGGATAGCATTATCCATCCCTTATACAACTAGGCCCAGTTGTAAACATCAACAAATTTTGACAGGTAGTGGTTTGAAAAAGTTTACCGCAAAGATTTTCCTCTAATCACAATGCAAAGATATTAACTGTCAACTGTAATATGGCCAAAGTTTCAACGGTTGGCCATAAGAGCCATCTCAGCATTGAGATCCCCTTTTTCTTAAGCCATTCATGTTGGTGGTCAGTTAGTAATGATATATATGAAAAACTTAGGTGCCTCTGATTGGCCAAAAACAACTGCCTTTTTCATGTAACACAAGTGCAAAGTAACACTGACATGCGGTCTGCCTTGACTTCCTGTGATGGCTTTTTTTCATGTAAACTATTTATAAGCAAAAATTTGATTTCTTGTCCAATTTTGTGTAAGTATACAGTTGTAAATATTTCAAAGATTACAAATTTCACTTGCCCCTATGGGCCTTTGCAGTTTTAAGTCTTCTTTGAAAAACTAACTTGTGCTTATTAACACCAAATTGCACTGAAATTATCACCTACACTTATTCTATATATAGTGTAACTATCACATGCATGTAACTGCTTTAAAAAATTTATGCTCCCCAAGGAGTTTTGAAATCCATAAGCTTGGAAATATAATTTCAAGCATTTTAGGGATTAAAGAGAGTGCTTGCAGTTGAGAGGTCTTATACGTGGCAATAGATTGCTTGTTTACAGGATGATGAAGTTGTCCCTGTGGTGTTCAATCACTAGAACATTTTATCACTTCATACAGTGAAAGGGAAACTTTCAGTTTTTATTGTTGTTATTCACTGCTTACAGACACAATTTTACTTATTTAAACAAAACTTGTCAGCAGTGACACTGTCAGCATTACATTAGTACAAAATTTATTGATCTCAATCAAATATGTAAAAAGTGTCAACAGAATTCAATTGTTATACCTCCCTAGCGAAACAAAGGTTGCAAAATTCAAGATATTAGGTCGATAGGACTGCTTGTCATGTGCTTTATGGTTGAACACTTAAATTTGTTTTTCTTTGTTGGCATGTGTGTTTGTTAAGGAATTGGGGTGCACTAGTGAGGATCATTTCTTTAATTGATTTTTATCCACAGGTCAACTGAAATTTAATTCGTTTCAAGTTGTTATCAAATTCCTCTGTGGGAAAGAGAACCGCCAAAAATTTGCCACCCTGCTAACCACTGGCTTCTTAGCCCTGTTGGTCTTGGCATCCATTTAGTATCTGGGTTACACAGGTCAAAAGCTGAATTTTTTCAGGTTCCTGTCTGTAATTGCTAATATTGTAGTTCACATATTAGGATCAATTCTTTGCTCAATTTTCATTCATAAGTCAAACAAGTTGTTACCAATATTATTTCTGTTAATTTGTTAGTAATTGTTGAACTGCATTGGTTTATATTTATGCGAAGCACATGGTGGGTTCTTCATATCTCTGAATTGTTTCTCAACCATGGGAATGTTCACATGGGTCCTGGAAAACCTTGTCTACTTGTTTTTATATCATGAAGAGAAATTCTGTCTCAGTCACTCATGGAAGTTAATGGTTTAATGTTGCCTGAAGTGGTCCTTCACCTATGAGTGTTTGAATGAATCCTTAGTGTGAGCATTCAAATAACAATTACTGAGCATAACTTCCAGGTTTGATTTTGACAACAATTCACCATTTTGAGGAAAGCCTCTGAAAAGTCGTGTTTTTTTTTTTTTAATTTTAATTATTTTGTTCAGTTAGAATACCCTATGGTACTGCAAGGTTTGGGGATTTGGAGTTTTATGAGATGTGCATTGATTCAAATCTTGCAAGCCCTATCTGTGTGGTATACAGACTTCATTGTTCATTATGCACAAAGGTATCAGTCATGAGTTTTCACAAATTCTAGTTGGCTAATGTATTCACTGAATTGAATTGAATTCAATCATGAACTTTGAAGTTCTTTCTATGAATAATTCACTGTTTATTAACACAGGAAAGAGGTTATAAGCCTACAGATATTAGAGATTGTCATTTAGATTCTCAAGTGTCAGTGGGGTGTAAGATAATGTTATAAATAAAAACTAATGATCCCTCTGTTTATACAATTGTCTTCTTCATTCTTTCTACAATACTTTGTTCAGGGAAAGGTTACTTGCCGTCAAGCCCTCAAGGCATTGGGAATAAAAGTTTTGCACAACCAGTTGTGCATATTATTGATTGCAAAACAGAACCAAAACTTTTATTTATGTTTCTTTTTCACTTGGGGTGGCATGTTCTTTTTAAATAATCCAATATTATTTTACTATAATAACTTTTCACCTTACATTGATAATCCTGTTAAGTTCTGATGTCTGTGCAATTTTGCTTCAGAAATTACATTTTTGTCATTACTGATATGAAAACTAGATGTAACCTGGTAATGAGACCCAGGTGGCAGGTTATTCTAGATTTTTCTGTCTCACAAGGGACCCTCAAACCATATTAAAGTTAAAATATGCAGACTAATCCTCATGGGGAAGATGATCATAGTTGCGAAGAAAAATTAAAGTGTGGGTAGTTCGCCAAGAAGAAGAAAGAAACACAACTGAGTGCACACTTAAATTTCTGTAATTTTCCATTTCTTAACTTACTACATGTTAATCTTCCTACAAGAAAAAAAAGAAAGAAAAGCAACATCCACAAGTCCTGGGTGCAAGAGGCTAAACGATAGACCTAGAAGTCTAGACAATTTTGTAAATATACAGACAGGGCTTTATGTATGATAGTAATCCTTTTTGCGTAAGCACTTGAACTCACATAGGATAAATTCTCTGTCTATAGCTGCACTTTTTCTGACAAGAATCAATCTTATCAAAACAGAAATTACATGTAGTTAACACACCCACATCAATAGAGCCACATCAATACAGAGACAGAGACATAAACAATTCACCGCAGTTGAAGTTGACATAAACAGTTTAAGATGTATGTTTATATTCCAAGACCTGACATGTAAAACTTGACATTTATTCTGTAGTATTATATTCCACAGTAAACCAAGATCCAGTTGCAGTGGTATAGTGGCATTTTTTGGTCTAATCCCTAATCAACACTTAAGCTGGCATTGTTTGTTTATTTTTTTTTTTTTCCTTATCCTCTAAAATGCAAAATGTGGAAAAAAATTGCAAAAAAGGAAACATTCAAACACCATGGGAAAAAATGACATAAACCAAAACTTGAGAACTCTTTTATACTCTCAGAAGTAGAAATGAAATTTTGCATTCTGATAAGTGAGTTAAGGAGAGCAATTGTTACCTAGATTCTACAATTGATATGTTTAAAATACTGCAAGGAACTAAGTAGGAAGGAAAAAAAAGCTATTTGGTAAACGTAACATCTGACGTCCAAAAACTTTCAAACTAGTCTGAGCCATAATTTATTTTCAGTATTTATACATCTGGACATACCATATCAGTGTTAAGGTTGCAAACAACATTTAATGCGAGAACAACAAAATATAAAATGTGTTTCACGAGTTTAACGCTAAGATTGGCGTGTAAAAAATATCCAAGATGCCGTAGCCTCCGCCTTGCGATCTGGGCAGGAATCACTTACACCAGCCCAAATAACAAATAATGATAATGGAAAGCGTTTGTCGACATACTTGTAGCCAATAGGACATTGACATACTTGTAGCCAGACAGTTTTAATGAGTGTCATGGCTAAGAACATTTACATATCGTGTTAACAAGGATCGAATTGCATGTGCCCTATTATCTTTAGAGACACACGAACAACTATATGATGTATTGTGTACGCGGAGATCTTCGCCTCGAGATATTAATTAAACGAGAAATGTTACCGACACCAACGAAAACACGTGCTTTGACTAAGTCGCTGCAAGTTCTCAGATTATTTTTGACCTATTTCTAAAATTTCTCTCTTTCTCTTTGTAACATCCGGAATTATTTTTAACAAGCGCGAATATTGTCGAATGACAGGCTTCCTGAGAGAAAACCACAGTAGAGTCTTCGATTTCAACTGCGGCGAAGCGCGAACAAAGCAATAAAGCTTTATTATGGTGTACAAGTTTATTGAAATTTGTATGTAAATTTGTACAAAAATAACAAAGCCCTCGAAAGCAGATCTAGTCAAGCGACAAAAGTGGTGGTGGTAAATAAAAATCATGTTAGACAGACTTTCGAAACGCCGGTTTCTTACCGTGAACTATACATGTCGTACTGTAACAGCGAGTAATTTATTGCACTGTCGGTTAGACGGAAATGTTACTACAAAATGTTGCCCTCAAGGTAAAGCGATTGGTAAATACTGTTTCTCTGTCTCCTGTAAAGCCCTTTGACATTCAGGGGCTGGGTTTAATGGCAGTTTACCAATAGGAGGTATTTGAAATACGCCATTCATTTCACACATTTACATGCAAGCGTGCTTATCATCAACTACAAAGGACAAGCATCGTGTTTTCCCTAACGAAGACACGAAACTCTAAATTCGACAAAGTACCGGTTAAAATTGCTTTAAATCGCGAAAAGCCAAAATAGAGTACGAGTTTTAAGTTCTCCGACACCTTTCTGGTGCGAATTTTCGCACAGTTGAACAATAAAGTTACCTAAGCTAATCATGCATACCAAACAGCATGTTAGTCGAAACAACACGCAAGGGCCAGGCAGTGTTAAAACAAGCGACGCCTAAGAAACTCGGTTAAATTAAACATCGCTCTTACCAGCATAAAACTGTTTCGTCTCCCGTTCGGCTGCTCCTTAGAAAGCTTCGAAATTATCGTCTCCAAATTTTGTCTAGAGGAGAAAGCGAAATCATTATAATTACAATCAATTTTCACACCAAACACATGTGCGTGCTAACAATCCATTCAGCGAGGCGCCAACAGAAGTATATATCTTAAACAACGTGCAAGGCTTTAGTTAAGCTAAAACCACACCAAAATTACCCCTTTCTCGTTTCTCCAAATTCCCCCATCACAATCCCTGGTCGAATGGTCTTCGCTGTTGTCAAAGCATCAAATTTGGAGAACTAAATACGAGATTATTGTTAGCGGCGAAAGGTCAACACGTCTAATGCCTCCACCATCTTTGCATTCCTGGTCGTTCTAACTGGAACCCTGGTCAGCGGTTGCTTCTCGTCACGCGAACTTGACACGCAATCGACACAGAGAGGTGATAGACTGGGTCAAAGTCACGCAAACGTACCCTTATACGATCACGTTTTTCATCGCGAGAAATGCGTTATCCTTCTAAAAAAGCTTTTTAAATAGTTACGCTCATTTGAGCACGGAACTAGTATCATCAATATGATAAAAACGTTTCTCCTGTTGGAAATTTTTGGGGCAGTCGCATGTGCGTGATAGCTCAGTATTTTCTCCAAGACAGGATCACGCAATTATTAACATAAATTAACATGAAGATGCAGTGGACAGATTAACACGAAAACGCATCCACAATGAGCGGTTTGAAAGCGCAAAATTCGCGACCATTAAAAGAAACAACTTATTTTTTTTAAGTTGTTCCGAAATTAATTTAACAAAATTAGTTTTATAATTACCGTTAGTGCCGCAGAAGAAAACAAACACTCCTTAGATCTCTTAATTTTGACCAGATTTTCTGGTCACGAGATGATTGTCAGCGACACGAGTCTCCACTGTTACCTTGCGGACGGATCGTGACAAAGGTAGAATTAACATTCAACATCGCCCTCTGAACAGGAAACTTTTGACATCACCACTGAACTGGCTTGTGAGATGTTTTTTACCCGCTCACGCACACAGGAGGTGACGAAATCACAACAACTCAGGTGAATTGAGCTACAGGGAAGATTCCAGAAACGTTGTCGTCTCTCTAACTCTCGGTATAATGAACGGAAAGCTCTCTTCTATAGTGAACTGTTACATTGGTAAAAAGTTTCTCTCTTTAACACCCTATGGACATTGATATATATATTTTTTCAAAAACGAAATCAACCGGTTTTGAAAAAAGTCATCATGAATAATTGATATTCCCAATTCATAATAAAAAAAATAACAATTGTGTCAAAAATTTGGCCTAAAGGTGATGTTTTATTTTTAAATTTTATTTCTATATTGTAGAGACCACGACGGCTTCGACGTTCTATTTATCAATTCATATTTCGAAGAAAGGAAACTAAATTTGGACGAAATCCTGTCGGCTCGAGCTGACTAAAATGTGCTTTGTTCACGAGTAATTTGTTACAAAACTTTAAGTCAAATCAAAACTTAAACTAAAACAACTTTGTCGGTACCCCGAATTTCTCCGAGAACTCGAGATTTAACATTAACACTCGTTAATAGTAAACATGAAAATGTTTCTTCAAAATCATGGACGTTGAAAAAGTTAAGATCACATAAGAGACTCGGTGCACAAGAAAAAGTACAAAAAATAATGTATAAAAAGCAACAACAACAACATAAAATTTGGAAAAATTCTCTAAACATGCTGATGAATTTCAATTTAAGATCTTTGCGTAAGTTTACCTTTGCAGGATGTTGACAGTCCTTCAGTTGAAGTTAATCATAGATTTAATTTTCACTCAACTGTGTGAAAGAAAATACCAACAATTCGCAAACAAGTATTTGTTCAAAATTATGAATTGAACCTGAATATTAAGGCGCCAATGAGAAAAGATAAATACAATTTAAAATAAAGTTTGGTCAAGAAAACAGTTTGTTTGATCCGAGCTTATCCTGATTTCTGTAACTCGAAGCGACTAAGAGTAGTGCTGCTCTCCCCAAAGATAGTAATCTAGTTCATCGCAGTTTATTCCATATATAACTTTTATTGATTTAAAATCTGAGTACAGTTAACATCTGAAGTTACACGTTTTACGGCAGCTGATTCTCACAGTGTGTACTCCACATTGTCCTTTATAACGCTGGCAATGTTCTGTGCCCCATCGGTCAAAACAGGCTATAAGATAGAAATATTTTTTTTTAGTGTCAACTCAAAGTTATGACGCATTTTGAAAACGATCAATTGACAATAAACTACCATACTCTACAAAATATACTGAGGTTAAAAAAAGAATGTGAAGATGATTTGATTAAATTACTTGAGGCTTCTAATTGCGCATGCCTCGCTGTTTTCCCTAGTACATGTACACCATATATTCACTCAAAGACCTGTCATTGTTTGGGATCGGTAATTATTTAACTTTGGGGGTTTGCTGCGTGAAATTAGTTGCAACTGATATGAGATGATAGTTTTGCTTACGTCGTTTTGTGGGTGGAGCAGGGGTTGGAGTACATCCTTGTCCGTAACCTAATCGACGAAAAAGAGGAGGATGGTAATTCAATCAATAATAAAATGAAACCAAAATGTTATTGATATCAGAACGGAGATGAAATTTAAAATAAAAAATTCGCCGAACCTCCCATGGCGATTTTATGATTGATCCAATCCACATAGGAGCTTATGCGGGTGAAAACGGTGTAAGTGGTCTCTGCTTCACACCGAGGATGTCCCCAGCTCACAGCCCCATGAAGTACAAAATGCCCATTTTCTTTACAAACAAATGGACCTCCACTGTCTCCCTGGCAGCCGCTGATCACATTTCCTGCTGTCGCATATCCAGCGCATACCATGCTGTGTTTATCCACTGGCACAATGTCTTTGTTGGCCACTGCGCATGTCTGATGCTCCACTACTGGCATGACAGCTTGTTGAAGGATTTTTGCTGGTTTTCCACCGCCGATGATTCTCCCCCAACCTATAAAAATGTCCTAAGCTTAGTCTTGAAGATATAAGTTTTCGTCTGTCACGAATTCTTCGTTCGGCACACTAAGTGACAAGCCCTGAAGAATATCACAGAAGGTTAGAGGAGCCCTAAACAATAAATCGCTCTTTCTTTCGGTTGACCGACGTAATAACCCGCTTGTGATGGTGGGAGATCACGAGACACGTTTGTAAATCACTCACCTTTCGCCTCGTGATTAACAAACTTTCTTCGTATTCTCCCAGCATCACAAGAGGTTTATTACATCGGCCAACCAACAGAAAGTGTAGCCTATTGCTTTTAATTTATAAAATAAACTTAAAACAAAACACATTATTTTTCAAGTTTCTATGGGTTTACTGGTGAAACAAACTATAAGTTTTCGACCAATCAGGGCACTCGTACTATTTCGGTTGTTTTATAAAGAATGATGTTGAACATCAAAAGTTTTATGTTGCATACGCTGGCAATTATCCCTTTTCAACAATACGAACGCGAAAATTCTTCATGTTAGGGCCTGTCACAAATGCAATAGATTGATTTAGTGTTTCGCCGCCTCGCGAAAACTGATTGCAAAGAAAGTTGATATTTTTGCATGCAAGGGTAGCGTTACAAAATTTGAGAATTTTCCAAGTTTCTTGATAGATTCTTACTCGCTCCCATATTTCAAAGAAAAATAAATAACCCAGTTCCACGACCAGGGTTATGTTCATGACGTGAGTACAAGACTTTGATTGGCTACCTGTTATGTAACAGTTGGTTCCGGCGGGAACCTGTCGACTTTGCTGTGGTAAGCAAACGGTGTTAATCCTGTCACTCAGCACTACCGGTTTGGCGAGTGTGAGCAGGGCGATATCGTTTTGTATATGTTTCATGGAGAATCCTTCGTGATAACAGACAGCAGCCACGTCTATCAGTTTTTCTGCACCTTCTTCTACGGTCTGGTCGTGTTCACCTAAGAAAGAAAAAAAGAAAGAAAAGGAAAGTATTAAAAGAGAAAAGAGGAAAAGGAAAAGGAAAGAAGGGAAGGGAAAGAGGGAAGAAAAAAAAGAGAAAAGAGAAAAGAGAAAGAATATTAAGAATAAAAAAATCGTGTGAAGTGAATGAGAAATAAGAGTTCCTTGAAAGTTTTCCAGATGAATGGCGTAAGGACGATACGAATAAACCTAAAGACAAAGAAAACTACGCATGCACACAGATCTCTGAGGCGGAGCGTTTAATACAGTCCTGAATGAATAAGTTCTTCAACGGACTTCAAAGTCTCAGTTGCTTTTTCATCTGATCACTTTTGACTAAGAAAAAACTATTCGTATTCCAATTACCGTGAAGAAAGAGTACTTCTCTCATAAACCCAACACACTTACATCCTTAGAAGAGCCTGCATGTTACGAATAAAAATACTTTTACTTATTTGGTGTCTTCTAAAGGAAGCCCATCTCACAAGCAGCTGAACCCTTTCGGTTTTGTCAATGACGACTTCCATCACACAAATTGCGAAGAGTAAAAACAGCAAACATGAGATTTCCAAGCGAAAGACAAATACCCTATCACGCGGTATTTAAGGACGAAATTAAGCTTACCTACGACAACTTTGTAACGACTCGGAGCGGCATTTTGCACGACACAGTGTGCTGCGGTGACAACATGCGTCGTAGAAATGAGAGATCCTCCGCAAATGTGATACAGTTTTCCTCGCGCTTTAACTCTCAAAGATATCTGCCAAGGCCAGGAATTTGGCTCAGCATTAATTCCACCCACCACACGTGTAGAAATTGGTCGCTTGCCGCATCCTACGGAGAAGAGGGTACAATAATTACGGTATATGACCTTAAGTAACCCACAGTGAAGTAATGGCGTATAAACCATCAAGCCTGATGGTTTAGAACTTTTCTCCGGAAATCGATTCAGCTTAATGCTTCTTACTATATCTTACTATCATTTGCCTTTGGGCATTTAGCATCCCTTTCGAAAAAAGATTTTGGAAGACTGCGGTTGTAACACAGGTAAGCACCGATGTTCCGACAAGGATATCTTACTGATCATCAGACTTTAAATTAAATGGCTAGGTTTTTATAAGTGGTGCGAGGAGAACTAAAAGATAACAAGTACTTATTGGTTATAAATCAATGAAAAAATGATCAAATTATGCTTAATTTATTCTGGAGTAAAGCTGAAGACGTTTGATTCTACCAAATAGTCTTTCAACAATTCTTAGGGGCAATTTAGCTTAGTCAACTCTTTTTTTCTTCTGCCTTGACGAAGGGCTAACGCTCGAAACGTCAGCTTAAGAAACTCTTTACGGTGGCTAATTTACATTATCAACTCAGTTCATAAAACCAAAGTATCCTATAAAACCCCATATACGCAGCGCTACGGTTTCTTCAGAGACTTACCCCTTAATTCCTAGGAATAGTTTGCTATATTTCTTGTAGTCGAGAAATGAGGAATGTGGAATGAATCTTAGAGAAACAGCGTTCGGGTTAGTAAGTCTCCAAAGTCTAGACGAAATGTCTCATGTTTGCTATTTGCCTACCACCTTAACCTTTCCTATCTTGTACCAGGCTTTTTCAGTTGCGAGTTTTATTTCGCGCACAGTATTGTACAGAACGATAAACTCCAAAGATTCAAAAGAAATTCAACATAAAATGATACAGCATAGTTAATTAAACTGGTAGTGTTGAATGCTATTCAAAGGAATCATTGCTATTTCTGTACCTTGATTTCCATGGGCAAGAGTTAACTCTGAGAGCAAAAACACTACAGATAGCATTACCGAGCCCATCCTGATGTGAAGTCTTGAACGCTGGAAAACTCACTTTTGCCTCTAATGTACGAAGCTTAATTATGGCCTTCGAGCAAGCTAACATCTGCTCTATGGTGCTGCCGTGACGTTTCGCAATAGTAGATGTCAAGTTTTCCGAGTGCGAGCAGATTTCCAAGCACACGTGGACCAGCTGCACCGCTGATGTAAACACTTCAACCGGACGATGCACTTCATGCCATTTATTTCGTTTAGTCTTTATTTTGAAATTGAAAAACAAGAGACAAATACAATATATTTGTCTTATGTATACTAAGTTAGGAAGAGATGATTCCACTGTCAGAAAGAAGATACAAGGATTGCAGGTTTATTCCATGTCATGACTAATATTTTAACAGCCGTTTTTTTTTTTTCTGTTTTTACCCTATCCTTGATGACAAAACTTATTTTTTCACATATCTGAAAAGTGAAAAGAAGAAGGAAAATCTACCTTTCACTCTTACAAGAGTTTCTTACCGGGTCATTACCAAAATTATTGAAATCTAATTGTAGGTCACCTTCACTGTAACAACTAATTGCGTTAAGATCATTCAGTTGAGAATTTTCTGTCTGACGACCATGACTTTCACATTTTATTGAAAAGTCGACCTCTTTCAGTAAACTTTACATATCTGTTCTCACTAAAATTATCGCATTAGTTAATCGACCATTCCCCTTAACTGGAGACGAGTATTTAAAGGATATCCACCACTTCACATTTCAAGCAAATTTTATCTTATTTTCAGATTAAATTTGAATCATTTCTAGGAGAGAATGCCCCAGACCCCCACATCAGCTTTCATATAAGCAAGCCCCTTCCCATCACTCGTAGAAAGTCCCTAAAAATTCACGATCAGCCATTGAGTAGCGTTTTATTTCACATTCTGTCTCTTAATGCTGTCCCAAAATTAACTCTGTTAACCGCAGTATGTCTTTTTTACTTTGACCCTGCCGCGCGATATTGGGCTAGATATACATATTATGGTCTAGACCGTGTGCTCGCGAGGGAGCAATGTTTGCGTTTTGCAGATCATGTTTTCTCTCAGGCTTTCGAGTTAAGCATTTATCCATGCAGGCTACACACTCTTCCAGGAAGGAAAACAAGATGAAGCAAATAGAGGAAAGAGGAATCAATTGATATGATAAATAATTTTTTATGTGGACTTTTGAATTACAGTGCGAGAATTCGAGTTCTCAGTTCTGCAATAAATCATACGTTTCATGTCATACGATCGTTGTTGCGTCAACTCTGTTAATATGTATTCCGCTGTTCTGTTTCTTTTGCGTCTGATTTTTTGAGACATATAAGACGCTCAGCTGAAAATTGATTCACGCTTACGTTCATTTCAAATGTTTGAGGGTAAGGTAAAGCGACAAGATTGATTAGTATGTACCTCACTGAGATTATCACAAGACAGCGTGCTTTAAATGAGCCAAGTACAATCTCAAAACATGAGTTAATCAGCTCGCAAGGAGAATAAATGCAAAGTACCGGTCTCTTCAGCACTTCTTACAACGTAACCTTTACGAAGTACAAATCATGGTACCTGTGTATTCCTACTCAGAAGCCCTTCAATTCCTAAATTTAAGAACATTAGACGAGAGACGTAGTGAACTCTGTTAAAACTCTTGAAAAGATCTCAAAAGGAGGACATCGATTAAATATCTCCCAATGACGAGACAGCGCATGCATCACTATCAAACGAGATGCGCTAACAAATGTACAGTAACTAAATGCAGGACTGAAAGATAGCGCCGTAGTTTTTTCCAAGTACTAGTTTAGCTTTCAGAAATCAATAGACTTTTAGACCCTATACCTACATATATATTTTAACTTCTATTTGTAATTTTAATACAAAATCTATTGTAATCCAGTCCCTTATTGATTAATAGTGTGTGATTCTTATAGTTGTAAATTTGTAACCACATTGTACTTCAGATTAACAGCGATTATGGTGGAATTAAACTTCTTTTTTTATTATCATTATTATTATTATTATTATTATTACAACGGTAAGGCACAAAACTTTAACTTTTTCCGAATGCACTAAACTATTTGTGACAACATCGGCGTGCGTTTTAAGTACGATATTTTTCTATGTTTCAATGCATCGATCAAGAGTAAGATAAGGAAGTAGGTAAGGTTCTGCTTAAACGCTTGTATAGTTTCAAATAGAAGATCTCATTGGGGTTTAACCGTTAGCGGTAAAAAAAACTGAAAAATATAACCATCATCGTGAGAACTCAACTATTAGACGTAAGGCGGCTCGAAAATTGAACCTGAAGGCGTAAAAAGCTACAAAGTTTAAACGTTAGCTGTAAGCGTCACAACTCCATTAAGACCTTCACAACAGTGACCCAGTTGCGTCCTATTGCAGCCAAACAGACCACATTAGTACAAGAAAAAGTCCCGTTCTTTCGCTTCTTTACTGTACGATACGAATTTGTCTTCATATGTAGCATATTTTACACTTTTTCCACCGCTTCCTCCTAACTCTTTTGATATTTCCCTCAGCATGGCCTTGGCATATTCTCCGATAAAATCGGACATTTCGCTGTCCTCGGTTGGGTTTTCTTCCAAGATTTCTCTCGCGTCTGTGAAGGAGTCGTTCAGTATGGCCACAAAGAAGTTCATCATGAAAACAGTCATACCGGAAAAATAAAAAAACATGAAGAACGGCCCGAGAGAACGGTTTATGGCTTCCAGCTCGTCATAATTAGTTCCTTTGCCAAGTATCATCTCGCAGACGTTCACCAATGACCTCGTGAATGTAGAAAACATGTACGCTGAACGTCCAAACAGCATGTTACCTATGACGGCAAATGCCAGAAGAGCCACAAGGAATACAAGTGAATACGATGTCATAGGACCTCGGGATACATTTATGCTTTTCGCCAACTGGGAGATATGCTTATTGAACTTCAAGATGCGAAGGAACTTCAGTGTGGACAGAAAGGTAACCATGGAAATAACCACATTTTCAACGTCTGTCCATAACGCAACATAATCAAAACTCATCCGGCCATAAGGATTTTCATGAACTTTCGCGACGAGTTTTCTGGTTTGTTCGGCTTTGAAGAAGAATATCACCATAGTTGTAAGTGTGAGGCATATCAATGTCCACTCGTGAAAACTCCATATGTCCCTCAAGTAAGCCCAGCCCGACTGACGCATTTCGCGTATTTCTATGTATATAGAGTATACGAGTATTAAAACAATGATTACGTAACATGCAATAAAAACTGAGCCGGTGTGTGAACTGGTGCTGCGGGAAAACGAAATGGGGTCAATACGATAAGATATTTCCATGCCTCCCGTAGGTAACCACTCGAAAGAATAACGAGTAAAAGCGAACAGATTTGTCGCGGGCTCAAATGTAACGAACTCAAACAACACAATAACTGTCCGTCTGTTAATCCAGTTGTCAGCAATAAGGTTGGCAATGACCTTCCAGGCAGTCTCTCTTTCATATCCTAACTCTGCTACAAGTCCGCCACCGTAATAAGTGCCGAATGCCGTGATAATAGGTAAAGTGCCTAAGGACGTTGCATCCTGGAATTTGACGGTGTGGTCACACGTGATTGGCACGATGGAAAATATTTCTTGGATGCTTTCATTGGTGTAACTGCTACCATTAATACTGTTGCTAATATCACTGTAACCGCTGTTGCTGCCAGTTCCGATATCGGCATAAAATGGCGAGACATCAATTAACTCCAGGCTTGAATGGCCCTCATCAAGGTTGCTGCCTTGAAACTCATGATAACATCGAGGAAACCAACGTTTAAACTCTGGATAAGCAGACCAAGTAAGACATGGCTCTAAAATATGAAAAAAATTTTTACATCAGCTTGATAATCCTTAACAAACTAATGCAAAAACCATATTTACTAAAACTCCTTTTGTATGAGTGGTATATGTGGCACACTAGATGGTTAGTTGACAAAACTGGGCAGGAAAATGATGCCTTAATGTCTAGAACCCCAAATTTCTAGAAAATGTGTTGTTATTGTGGATCTTGGGCCATTTCCTTGGACGTAGTATTTGCTTCGTTTTATTTGTTTTTACCATTTTTGACCTCAAAGAGTTCGAATGCTTGAGTACATGGCAAGGCAAATAATAGCCTATTCGTTTCAACTTAAATGTTAGCGTGTCTAAAGCAGAAGTGTTTTGAAAACGAGTAGACATAACTCTGCTGAACCGCTTTATCAAAATCGTCCTATCATTAAGATTGATAACCGCTCTAGACAAGCAGGAGTTTATAGAATGGTTTAATTTTTTTGGTTTTAACCTTATTGCAGTACCTGGTTTTATACGCAGCTGCCGTAGTCGGGGAAGACCGACAATAAACGCCCTCTTATTTGAGAAGAAATCTTCCTCTTCAAATGGTTGTCCATTGTACCATGGGGCACTGTACAAACCAGGAAGCATAAAATTCTCGCACCACCACCAAAATGTGTGTACATTCTTGACCTACAGTAAGAGAATTTGCGCATGAGAGTTGGATACAGAAACAATATACCAAACAGAAATGTCTTCTGGATTTTCACTGCTTCATTATGGAAGCACAGAAGCCGGCCTGTAATCGAAACGGAAGGCTCTGTTTAGTTTGATAACATGTATGTCTGACCCAGTCTTTGTTTCTATGCCATTTGGTATCACGTCATATGACCGGGCTGACAATTAAGCTCTGCTTTGAGATAACTAAGAGTATGTTATGACACCCTTGATAATACACATGCAAAAATTTCAGCATGCTGATAAGCTTATCAACATGATGAAATTTTTGTATGTGTGATGGCTTTAGTTTAATGGTTACTGCTATCGACTGATACCTAACAGAGAAAGATTGCAAACGCTCAGTTATTCTTTAGAGGAAAGCCTGGCAACACAGAGAACAAGGCATGGGGAAGCAGCCGAACTGGATATAAAGAAAACTTCAAAGGAAAACAGAGTCATATATTTGCTTGTGTATTATTAACCAGTAATCGCATGATTTTCTCGTACAATTTGGGATAAATCAGTACTCGTAAGCTTTTCCAAGACTACAAATTGCGCTTGCCCTACGGGTTCGAGCAATTTGGTTAGCCTTTGAAAATTTTACCAATGCTGATTTATCCCAAATTGCACTCGAAATCATGTGATTACCTATACAAATTGTGATGAAAATTTTCTGTATTCAGATTTCACAGACATGATTACAAAAATAATTTCATCAGTAAATAGCTACCAAGGAATAGAAATAGAGGCAGATGAAGTAAGAGCAATCTTGAAAGCTCTTTTAAAATTCCTTCCTCCACTTAAAACTGTGACAAAGAGCAACTGATGAGAAATGCATATTACCTCATAGCCTACCTTGTCAAGTTTTGCATTGAAGATGTCCTCCATGTTTTTGTTCAATCTAAATCTGTCGCTCCCTATACCTCCGTAACAAACTACCGCCAAAAGTAGGGCAAACACAAAATGTAATGCAAATTTAAAGAGAAATTTCCACATTTTAACTTCCTTGACCCTCTTTTGTCTGGCAATTGCCACTTTAAGTGGATCAGGAGGAGTGTAAAGCTCCGACAGCGTCTTAGGGCTCTGCAGCTCATCTTCAACTGGATTTGAGCCCTCAATTTCTGTGCTTGAAATCTCCGCGACCTCGCCATCCTGAACTTCTTCTCTGTCTTCCTCCGGGGGCTTGCGTAGCAAAATAGACAGCAAAGAAGCAACAAGGATCACTTTAAGGGGCTGAATGAAAAAGATGTCCTGCACTAGAGAGACAACAACGGATGTGATCCATTTGTTGGACTTCTCAGTTCCCCACACCATGCTGTAAAACATTGTAAAGGCGGCACCTGTCAGGGCTGTTAGTAATGACAGTGTATATGCTATGTAAATAAAACCATGAGGCAGTCTACATTTCTTTGTCTTCACCGATGATTCTGGTTTAATGTAACGAAAAATGGTTATGATCAATAGGTTTGCAGGCAAGACTACCAAACTGCTTTGAATTCCAATCATCAACTCTATCCAGTTAAAGTTAATCGGACCAAACGTAATTTGGAGACCTTGTTGTTTTAAACCATATTCGTAGAACATTGCATTAGCAAACATGGAGGAAAACAGAAGCGATATACAACAAGTTAAGCGCTGCACTCGAGTGAAAGAACTGTTTGGTGGTTTGGTGTAAACTGAGAACCAGATGTGACCATCTCCTATGTCTTTTGAGGCTCTTGTGTAAAAGAGATTATGGAATCCGGACAACTGTTTTCGATTGGCCACAAAAAGTACTCTTTCAATTTGTCCATCATCCTTTTCAACAGCCAACCAGCGGTTGCACATAAAGAACCATTTCTGATCTGTTGCCACGTGACGAACTACAACCTGATGAAGATTCCATGAAGGACTTGCGCCTGAGTTGTCGTGCCACAATCTCACATAGTTTAGTCGGCCAAGAACACGAGGAAGTTTCACCACAAAGGAACTTACACTGCCTCGAGAAAATGGATTTTTACTACCATTCATGTCCAGTAATGGAAGTATCTCTGTCTCTCCATTTTCGGCATTGATCATCATAGAAACATTGGCAGTTGTACCAGATGAACCAAACACTCCTGTGTAAACAGCAATCTCGTAGACATGAGTGCCAGGAAATGTTGTCCGTACAGGAATGGACACGGACAGCTATAAAGCAAAAACAAAAAAGTTGTATGATATACTGAATTATACACAATTGCTTCTTACTTATAATCTATTGGAGGAAACACACATACATGACGTTACCATTAACAACATTTTGGTTTTTTTTTTTTTATCATACAAAAAAAGTGCATTCCATGTTGCCGTAAGTCTGTACAGTAATAGGGATCGCGTAAAAATCTGGTAAGACCATCAGGAACACACTCGACTGCGTTTCGTGTTACTGAACAGGCGCATGGCAACAAGGGATACATTTGTCAATTAGAACGTATGATCCATATGATTTTACCGTTACCGTTACGGGGAATTAAATTATTACAATGTTGTTTTATAGCACCGAAATTCCACCCCCCCTCCCCCCCCCCGACAAGGAAACAGCAGCAAAAACAATAACAACAAAACTAAAAACACTTAATATCAAAATCATAGGGGTAAAATCAGAAAAATATTTGATCCAGCTAGCCAGCTTTACAATGACTGAAACAGCAAGAAAATATTCACATGGCGCCATGATGTAGATACCTATCTAAGACCGGAAATGTAAGCCTGAGAAACTCTTTACGTGGCAAAATTACAATATCAGTTTAGTTGTTAAAACCAACTCATCTCACCTTCTTTTCATCTCTTTTGTCAGCTTTTCTTGCAAACACTGTTGTGATAACATACGTCAGGAAAAAAACACCAACGGCGACAATTACTCCGACATTTCCAGTCTCGCCGAGGCTGGCAAATCCCAGAAATGCCGAGTCAAATTCAATGGTGTTGGGAGGAGGGAAAAGCTCTCCTCCAAATGAGGTCAGGTGGTTGCAGAAACATTGCAAGACTTCGTCAGTCGAGTTTGGACCAGGCTGTGAAAAAGATAAAGAAAGAAGTGCAACTCATCAGTAAGTTTCTTAATTACTACGTCTCATGATACATGAAATACGTAAAATGCTTCTGAAGGAATATTCAGTAGTTAAATGTATGTGGGTAAATATGATTCGATTAAGAAGATGAAAAAGACAATTGGAAAAGATAAAGAAAAGAAAACAGACAAAATTAGCTACTGGATAAAGGATCTCACGAATGTTCTTACAATTCTGGCTGTGAGTAAAAGAGAACCAATTACTACTTATCCCAAATTTATCTCTTTCTGCGTCACTTATAAAAATTTGCTCTCGAGTCAAACAATCGTTAAGCTGCGACGTTTGTGAAAAAAAATACCCTGCGTAGTTTAAAACGGTGTTTGGTATGGTTTTATCAAAAACCTATAGATTTTTTTACCTTGCACCCTCTTGTGCTCCATTCGTCTTTCAGTTCATCCCAAAAGAGGCACGTGTAAAACCTAACGTCAAATGTATACAAAGTCGAAACATCTATGTCACGAACGGGTATTTCAATGAGCTCCATTTTTGCCCCAACCTTAGGCGGAGCAGGCTTCTCGTCGACTTTTATGCAAAGTGTTTCTGCCTTGACATCTGATTCTGGGTCGTTGTCTTTTGGCAAGAGTGACCTTCGTTTGCGGCGACGTTTATCGTGCTCGTGATCATCGGGATCGTGATCATCGTTTTTGTGACCATCGTGTTCGTGATCATCGCTGTTCTCTTCCATCCACTTCTGCCAAAGCCTAAGGAGATACCTTACAACATCTTTGCATTTTACGCCATTGTACCACCAGCAATCATTTAGCTCTAATGTTGCGTTATAGTACTTACTCATCTGCTCGACGACGGATTCCTCAAGAAACTCTTTCACCTCTTTTTTTTTTGTCATATTCAATGACAAGTGCCACCACTTTTGAATCGTATAATTACCAGAATTTTGAAAATTTGTGTGGTTGACAATGGGAGTTATATATGGCCTAATGCCAACGTACCACTTGCCCAGTTTTGCAAACGAATCATTGAAGAAAACTTTAAACGGATCCTTAAGACACCTTCCATAAGTATCATAAAACAGTTTACGAGGCGTGAAAAGGATCTCCCGGCACTCCTGGTAGCGTTGTAATTCCAGTGCATAGCAAGATAACACGTTAACAGAGTTCTTACAAAGCAGAGTATCGTTTGGGCACTTTGTAAAGTTTGTGAAATTTCTACACGTCTCAGCACTTTCCTCGATCGTCTTGTTAAAAAGGAAGTACACATTAGGAATTTCATCGCATGAACAGTTAGTGTACGTGAGATTCTCATATTTGCAGATATCAGGACATTTGAGTGCGTCTCCGTCGTTTTCAGACGGTGCAGGCGTGGGAACGGATTCATTCTTGGGACCACAAGTTTTGGGTTGGCCAGGTTTGGCAAATTTGGCATCATGATAAGTAGATGACACATTTACCTTTCCTAAGCACTGCATAAACTCAGATAAAACTGTGCAATTTTCATCCCCTGGTGGTAAACACGAGGTAAAATCAGGCAAGATGATTTTATAATCAAAGTGCGTGTCATTTGGTCTTTTCCGATGCCTCAAAAATACCTCCAAGCGTGACTCGTTGAACGGTTCTATTCGAAGAGAAAACGCCGTGTCTTTATGTTCAACTCGAAAAGTATGGTAAGCCATGGTGCCATTCACCGGATTAACAAAGTTAACTGGTATGTTTTGACTGAGACTTTTCGCAGGGATATTAATCTCAATGTCTGATCCAGAGTTCTGAACTGGTATCAGATTTCCATGTTCATCCAGGAAAGAAAGGCTGACCACAGGTGTTCCTGGTTTGAGGGTATCATTCTTCCGCCATATGAAAGGATCCAAATCTGAGAATTGCACCTAAGGCAAAATGAAATTTTGAGACGGTAAAAATCAGCATGGCCGCGCATGATCAATGCGTCGTTTTTAAATCATTTCGAGCAGCATGCAGAACGTCCCCAGATACTTTCAAAGGAACAAACAAGATCTTCCTGTTATCAGAGCTAATTGGTCGGAAGGGTGCGTACCTGTTGAAGTCTTTTGATAATCATTTGCTCTGACGAAGGGCTGACGCTCGAAACGTCAGCTTTCAAAATTATCCCAATGCCAATTTACGTTATCAATTTAGTTGACAATACTGAATTACCCTATTGATAACAGTCCCTTAGGGAGGCGACCTGTAAATCAACCATTCAATTATAAGTGACGTTACACCAATTCTTGAAAAAAAAAATCACAAAGGAGGACTGTCATCTATAAAAAAAAACAAAAAACTGGTGCATTCGTACTGACTTCACCTTAAGGTGTGGGTAGGCGTCCGTGCATAACCAGGAGGCCCGGACCAGTGTGAGGGATACCTACGATAGACTAACATCCACCCAAGCACAAAGCTTGTGAGATTACTTAACCTTCAGGTCACGTATTGTTCCAGCTTACATTTCGATCAATGATTTTGGACTTTGAGCCATTGCCCAACGAGAGGTTCGATGGAAGAGAAAATGAGCCCCCTCTGACTTCCAAACTCCGTGGTAGGGCTTCACTAGCTCCCTGACGGTACAACTGCATAGAAATGCGTGGACTGTCAAAGAGGGCAGGTGTCTCGCCGGGAAGCAAACGGTCAAGAAAAACCTTGGCCAGAGTGTCTGTCAAGTTCCAGGCCTTCTTGGCCATGTCTCCAAACTGAAAAGTTAGAAAACAAAAGTTTAAAACAAATTATCAGAAACTTCACTCTCTAAAATTTTGTTTACGATGGGTAGTTTGTCATGATGCTAAGACCCGCATTGTTTGCTTTGAAAAGAAGAATTTCAATCCAAAAAAAGGAAAAAATACTTTTAAGCGTCGAAGCACTAACATTGGTGTGGACACTACCAATTAAAAAGAACCGCTTAAACAAGTGCACACTTGAAAAGTTACTTTTCGAATGAGTTCAGCGAATTTATATAAATTTATAGTAAAAACGGTCCTCTTTCAACATTCAGTAGAAGCAAATAGCCTAGGGCTGTATGATTCTGATCGTAGCTTATGGTAACTGACATTTTGTTTTATGGTGCTCTGACCTGTGAACCATTCGCAGTTCCGCTGGACAAAACTGCTCCTCCTAACAAGCTCCCTGCCACCAACACGATTTGTTTTCCAGCATTATCGACTCCATCTCTAGACTCCGTGTTGTTTTTTTCCCGGGACAAGACAGACATCATGTTCTCGCACGCTCCTAGGGCTTGGAGCTGAAGAGAGAGTTGTTTATTTGGGTTTAATGTTCGTCTTTCATAATGTTGTTGAATTCTTAGGCTAAGGAGCAAAGCAGGATTCACTTGAAAACAAAACAGACTCTTCTACAAAACGGCAACCGAAGTTAGAAGTTTATCAGTAAAAAGTTCAGTTTTCGTTGTAGCATGAAGAGCAGGATCAAGTAATTACTAATAGAGATTTGAAGATCACCTAATCAAATAAATTCAAAGAGACATGCGCAAACGGTAATAGTATTGTATAGTCGAGTTAAGCAATAAACCGCACTCTGTATCGGTTTACCAGCGTAATAAACCAAGAAACGGAGGCGAACTTTCCGAGTCTTGTAACCAGAGACCAGAGACCAGAGACTAGGTATCACACATACTTCCGGCAGGATAGAAAACATCACGCCTTCCTTGTTCGAGGGGTCGGTCAGGACAGCTAGGATGTACAATCCATGATCAGCCCCGACCAAAGGAGGCCGATTTTGATTATCATTATCTGATAAGTTCCTCCTTTCTCGCCACATGCTTGTTCAATGATGTTATGTGTAAATCACTACTTGGAGACAAAAGTTTTGCTTACCCCTGATGATGGAGAAATGGCGCCTTCTTCCTTTGTAGCCTCGACCAGTACACTCGCTATCTGATTCACACTTGAAGTGTCATTCACTGGTAACTTTGTTATACTATTAATAATGTTATCACGTATCTGTCAATGAAAAGAAAAATGTCAGCAAAAGAGGAATAGGCTTAGAGACTACATTGCTGAAGTAACAAATTGAATTAAAATATCAATAATGAAATAAAATTAAAAGTTTGACCCGCGGACATTAAGATACCCTCAGTTGAGCTGCAACATAATCAATTTATTGGGTGTTACAGGGAAAAGCCTGAAAAAAATAATTGCGTTAACAAGGGAATTTTCAGACACTAGTAGGGCGTCATTTCCAACTTAGTTACGAAGCCACATAATGGAAAGGTTTGTGATATTGGGTAAAAAGAGATGCAGTGAGAGGGAAGTTTCTTTTCCGAGAACACACAACAGTAGCTCGGTCAGGGTTAAACTTCGGATCCCTTGATGCGTGGTTTGGCGTATTATCGCCAATTCGGCCACCGTATCTTTCATAAAGTCATAAAGTAACACGTTTTATCTTACCGCTGTAGTGTTGGTTGTAGCATTGCTTCGCGCCAGTGCGTTGACAGCACTCAGAATGCCAATACTAAGCTGTACCGCGCTTTGTTCTTTTCCCTTATGAACGATGTCTTCAAGCTCGCTGTTTTCACCTGTTAAACTTGATGCACTAGAATCGAATTCCTCTTTCGATGGCTTGTATACCTGCAAAAATGTTCAAGTCTCGACTCTTATCTTGAAGTATGAATCGAAAGAAGTATTTGAAAAAGGATAAAACTTACTAGAACTCAGCTCTATATTATCTGAACGCACTTTCATTTCTATTGCGAATTAATTTACAACTTTTTTTGACAATAGTTCCTTTTTCCGTTTCACTGTAATTATGCTTGCAGTGCTCTCTAATGTTTGTATCTGTTCTTTTGATTTTTTTCTTATTGTTGCGCTATCTTAAAGCGCACCCCTCGATTAAGTGTCCATCCTAAAATAAGCGCTCCTCCTTTTAGCAGAAATTCTAAATAAGTGCCCGGGCGCTTATTCGAGAAAATACGGCAAGTGAACAGAGGTTTAAATTGTGACTTCTCGCTCAGTTTCATTTTCCGAACAAGGAACGCTGTTCCAAAGGAGCTGTCCCTTGTCTTTTGTTTTGCTTTGTTTTGTTTTGTTTTGTTTTTTGTCTTGCTTTCCTTGTTTTTCAAGTTTTATCTCATTTTACATCATATTATAGCTTCCAGCCCCAATTAAATCCACCAACGGTGCACGCGTAACTCCGTAGCTCTAGCGGAATAGATCATTTCTAAGCCCTAGAAAACCGTCTCTTTGAAATCGAAAAAAAGTTCAAAAACTTTGTTTCAAAATGAATTTTACTTAAAGCACGAGAACAAAAAGATAATCTCCTCAAGAAAGTTTCGCAAGAACTCTCGTTTCCAAGCAGAGGTATCGGGCATCTGAGAAATATCTTATTAACTTATTCCAAGGTGTGGAACAGGGACCCCATCTCCTCTTATGCTAATACTTACGAATACAGTTATATTTGCTTTGGCAAACGCCAAGAGAGAGTCAGTGATCACCACTTCAAGTTGCAATCGATTACCATCACTTTCATTTCCCACTGGTAGACGTAACGGTAGAGAATTATTTGTTTCCGATGCTAAAATGATGTAAGTGCCATCCTCTTTCGGAATGTTCACTTGGTAAGTCAGTGGTAAATCCGTATCGTACCAATCATTACACTGTAAATGGAAAGTTTCCAGGGCTGCTTTCCCTTCGCTCTTATCTGTCTCACACGTCCCCGATTTGGGAGGACTGTTTGTATGGAAGTAGTAATACGAATATCCTTCTCCTCTGTATGCCGTCACCGTCCGAAATCGTATCTGGTAGAACATCTCCTTTTGGAGAAAGTTTTCCATCAAAAAAATCGTTCTGCTAGTGGATGATGTTATCAATGCCTGGTAGAATCCAGGTGTCTTCTTCCATTCTCCTAAGCCAATTAAGATGCAAACACAGAATACTTTATCCATCAGCCGACGATTGAAATAAAAGGGTCGAACCTATTAGTGTTTTAACTTCTCCTGCAGGTTGGCACTTCCTATTGCCAAATATGTGTTTGGGTTTCAGGCATATATAAGACAAAAAATTTCATCACTTGGTACTTTCAAAGGTGAAGAACACATATAACTTTTCCCGGCAATATCGATAAATTAAAGTGATGATGAATTTAAAGAAGCTTATCTGATAGACCGGGGTACCTTGATACTACACTAAACTTTCTGAGACAAATAGCAAGGAATTCGTTAATTCAGACCTGTAACAGTGTGTTGGTACAGCGATGCAACATCCTTTCTTTATTAAAATGAAATTGTGTTTGTCGTCCTAATGTATGTTCGAATAGGAACAGTTGTGCGACTCCTTGGCTGTTTCTCCGCTTATCCTCTTAAGCATTCATAAATAGGTTCGTTCATTCTTACTGATTCAGATAAAAACTTACCTCCGCCATCTTTGTCTTTTTCGTACATAAACCAATTGTATGTTAGGCTTTGAGCGCATTTGCTTGCCGGTCCCATGCACACTGCATACAATTCAAGTCGCAAGTTAATGACTGCATTTCGCTTGCAATTCGCCATACAGCTGTGATACATAGGAAAATGTTCAAAGCAGACATGTTGGATAGGTATAGATCATATATTACACCGTAGATAACTATACGTTCAAATGTCGTGATGCATGAGGAGAAGAACTCTTTCAAAGGATAACATAAGAAACAATCTCTGTCCCTTAGTGCACTTTCCATTCTCTTTTGAGCTTTAAAAAACAACTTATACGCTTTTAAAACACAATGAGTTACTGGCTTGTGTGGTTGTTTGTAACTAGTCTGAGACAACTTGGTTCTTAGAGTCTGAAAGCACGCTACCCTATCATGATTACTTATTACAACGTCCGCACATGCGTAGGCGTTTGACCGCTGTGTTAGCGCAGATGTACAGTTCTTTAAGAAAACAAACCACGCACCTGATATTAAACGGAGGAGGAGCCTCCGCCACGGCCACTTTCTGTTTATAATAATCAAAACGTTGACGTTTCTCTACTCTGAGGATCATGTAATATGTAAACCCTCGCACCATCAAACTGTTGTTGAATGTTATTTTAAAAGAACTGTCGTTGAATGGCAGTCTACCGGGTCCTTTATTAAAGCAGCCTCCAGATCCATCAGCTGTTGAGGAAGATCCATTAGGATACACAACAGGCAGTGCACTTGGGTCAGTAATATCAAGGTTCTCACCACTTGCATAGCAGATCCAAGTGAAGTTCATACCGGTGTAGTTTCCTAATTGAGATTATGGCACATTGAGGAAGCACCGTTTAGTTCCTTAATAATGTACATGAAAATATTACGCGTATCTGATTGGCTGAAAACGAGTGCGTTCTCATGTAAAACGAGTGCAAATTTGTAACACGAGTGCACGCGCGCTGCCAAAATTTACGTCTCTTTTGACTATCTATGATGTTATTTCATGTACATTATTAACACGTAAGAAAATGATTTGTCATGCAATCCAAGTACCAAGCACTTGAATATTCTTTAGAGACTACAAATTGCACTTGCCCAGCGGGCTCACGCAATTTTGTTGTCTTTGAAAAATTTACACATGCTTAGTAACACCAAATTGCGCTCGAAATGATGTTATTACCTATACTTCGTTTGAAGATTTGCAGAAAATGCCCAGATGGCCTGATTTAGTATAGGAAGAGTGTTCAAATTCTCTTTTCGGGCGTAAAGTATCAACCTGTGTCCAGGATCTCCTGGAAGAGCTAGGGGGCCTTTTTCCAGGCGGAAGGAATAACAAGAGTGGGTATTACTCGAAACTTTGAGTAGAGCGAGGAAAATTACCATCCATGTATTGTGCATTTTCTGTAATATTGTTCATAGTTCATTTAGAAAACCCTTTCACATGACATGAAAATATTGTTTTTATATTAAACATGATATTGCCGACAATGTTTTGTAATACGTTTCCCATGCATTAGCGATTTGAGGAATGCCGATGTAAACGCCTGTTTTTGTATCTTGTTTTGTATTCTTTGAATTCTTGTTTTCAATTTTATCTTGATGTGTGTTGTAGTACTTTTTCTACCATATTTTGTGAATGTCATTCGCAATTAGCATGTTAAAGCCGAAGTTACCTTTCTCAGCAAAGAAATCAGGATCATAGGTGTCGCTGCCATCCATGGTAATTATAGAGTTTTCAGTGTATACTGCATCGTAACCATTGGCAATGTACACGTACAATGGACCGGGTTCAATCTCAAGGAAGCCAATGGCATGACCGGCTTGGTAAGGGCTCATAGGTGTGTTCACCGACAGTTGCACAAAGTAAAGACCATATGGAAGTGATCGCGCAGAAAATGACCAAGACATCGAACTGCTGACCGTTGTGAAATTGCCCACGGTCACGTTGTCCTAAGTCGAGATAAAATGCAAATAACAGATTCTCCCGTCTACGTAGACCGCTATAGATTAGTGACGATGTTCTTGATGTGCAAGTGTAGGTTTTTATGCGATTGAAAAAAAGGGATTTTGTTAAGGTGTCTGTTAGCAGAGCTGATGGTATCTAAACTAATGCTGTGAAGAAACAGCTTCGACGATACGCCTTTAAAGGAACAGCTAAACAATCTATGGTATTCATGAGAAACTTTTGGACACTTTATCGTTATTATTAAAATAAAAACAAATAAACAAAGAAAAAAAAACTACTGAAAACGTATTATTTACTTATTGACTGAGTGGGAGGGCCGGACCGGAAAATATCTGGCCCGAGGTCATGACGTAAGGACCCAGCGCAGCGAGGTCCGTGTTTCATGAACGAGAGTCAAATATTTTTCCATCTGGCCCACCTTACTCAGTCAATGAGCATTTTATCGTATGACTAGTAAGTCTTAATAATTTCGAAAATTTTGTTTTAACTGTAATGCGACGCGACAACCTGGCGCGTGCCGGAAAAACACAGAAACGATTCTACAATAAAAACTTTTTCTCTATTTGTATGAGTTAGAACAAGAGACTCACAATTCATCGAAAGAGGTGACTTATTTTCTTATTTCTGTTCACTGCTGACACTCAACTCGTGTTATCAACCAGCCGAAATTTTTATATTGAGAAAAACATGTTACTCACAAGAAAGTAATATACTGTAGTCAATTAATTTATAGCAGATTTGTAGAGAAGTTAACGTTCTAACTGAGTGTAGAAAGTAATCTTTGATTGTTTTTGTTCTGATTTACAACGCCTTGCGATTGGTCCAGAAAATTCGCACCACTTTTTCAACCAGATTTAAAACCAAAACCAATCGTGATTTGGTCACTCGTGTTTTCTAACGTTTCGTGCAGTTTGACTATTTCTACTTTGAGTTCTCATTAGCAAAGAGAACTCAACTAAAATCAACCTCCACTCTGGTTTCTCGAAACTCAATAACAAACCGCTCTATAGCCACAGATTTACTAATCTGATCAAACGATAAATCGTCAAGTCGCGAAACGAAAAGTAAAAAACTGAGTGAATATCCTGTAAACCAAAGAAGCACGACTTAGTCAATGAACAATAAATTACACTAACCGGCCCAAGAGATGCCACTTCCCAAGTGCAATTCTTCTGCGGTGGATTAACACAGTAGAAACTCACATATCCCGCGGTTGATGTAGTATCCTGCTTGCGATGTTTGGTTGGGTTGTTCAAATGGGACGATAAAGACATTGATACACGAACATAGGAGCTTCCAAAGCACTGTGCTTTAAATAGAAAAAAGAAATATTTATTGGGATAATAAGTATAGGTAATAAAATGATTTCTCTTGCAATTTGGAAGCGCAATTTATAGTCTTTGAGGAATTTGAGAAATTTGAGAAATCGTGTTGTTCCTTTTTAATTATGTGGCGTAAATTTTGGCAGCGCGCGCGTGCTATTTTTAGTTTGCACCCGTGTTACAGCCACGCGCGTAATTTTTGCATGTACATCATTATAATGTAATGATAAATAAGACATTGACTAAAATTAAAGTTCAGAGTTCTCTAAATGCTTCATGAGAATATCCTCGTGAATTTTGGAGTTATTTTTTGCCTTAGAGAAACGCATGAGATATTCTTTACGCGAGCAGAAAAAAAAAAATTATAAACTAGTTATACGTCCTGAAGAGTTTTCGTCGCTTCCCAAAGTTTGCCACGCTTGATAAGCGTTGTTTGCTATGGGAAAGCAATATGACATCATGTTATGCACGAAATTGAGACATTTCACGAGGAAAATCACCGATCTACAATCGCTTTTGGGTGGACAAAACGTAATGATGAGCTTTTAATTGTATTTGAAATGAAGCTTTTAGGGATGACTTGGCTACGCGGCCTCAACGAAGATTTCCACCATGATCACCTTGTTAGCAACCGCTATCTTCCTACCTTCGTATTGGTGTACGGCCATAACTTTTGCGTCAAAGTCATTAAGAGTTAATCCTATCATCTTATCAGCGATATATGTAATATTTTGAAAGCTTGTCGGAAAGTGATAATGTCCTATGATGTAACTGGAATTGTGGTCAGGCCTAAACGAAATGAAAAAATAAAAAAAACTTAAAACAAACATTCATCCTACATATTCAGCTTCTAATTCATGAACTCTCTCTTCAAAAACTGCATTCACAGGGTTGTAATTAAATCAGCTTCAGAAAGCCTCAATCAGTCTTTGAATGGTCTTATATTCTACTGAACAGTGCGGAACGCTCCAATCGTTTAAGTACTCTGTCGATACACAGTCGCAGATAAAAGAAGAAAGATAGTGAATATTTTAGTTCAGTAATGAAAGATTTTAGGTAAAGATATGTTTTCTTCTTGAAAGAACAACAAACCCTATTCCTTAACAAATCATTTCTTCAATTCAAGCGGTTTCTTCGTCCTTCTTTAAAAAATGGAGATACAACAACCAGGCAGGGTTAGTTGGAGTCATTCCCATAGTAAAGAAGTTGCTGATTTCCCAATGGTTTTGAAAACGTAAGTTAGAAGGGATTACAGATGACTGAAGACATAATAAGACACAAGCAACAAGAGCTAACACTCCTTCAGAACGATGAAGGAGTAATATATTTTACCTGAAAAACTTGAGAGTTCCATTGTAGACACCACATATCTTCCGATTGGTTATCTCCTCAACAAGCTGCAAGGTTTGAGAAGAAAAGAAGGATAACGACTAAAGCAGCGAACCGAAATATACATTTTTCCACAAGAACTTAACTCATTTTCTTCAACGTAAAGTGACTGTGAAGAAAGTACCCTTGCTTTTCCTTTACACTAGTTTACGATTTCTTTTGGAATCTAAATCTCAGTTAAGCAATGATAATAACACGGCTCTGCCAACCTACCGAAGATTGCAACCCTGACGAAACGTTTGTGAACGCCTGAGAATTCTTTGAGAAAATATCTTCATATCGTGGGAAGAAACTGCGATTTAACCGGACTAACAACTCCACGTCGTAGACTGTCGTCATAGATAAATAAATAGTTAGTATTCTTTTGAATTGTATTCATATTCCACAGTCTGTTTGGCTACTGCAAAATTTTAAATAGTATATCACTCAGTCATTCAATGAGTCAGTGAGTCAGTGAGCCAGTGAGTCAGCGAGTCGTTAAGTCATTGAGTCCGCGAGTCATTCAGTCAGCGAATCACTGAGTAAGTAAGTCCGTGATTCACTTAGTCAGTGAGGCATTGACTCAGGGAGTCAGTGATTCGTTGAGTTATGAGTCGATGAGTGAGCCAAAGATTTAGAGAGTCATTGAGTCATTGAGCTAGTATGTCAGTAGGTCAATGAATCAGTGAGTAAGTGAGTCAATGAGTAGGTGAGTCATTGAGACCGTGAGTCAGTCAGTGAGTGAGTCGTCAAGTAATTTATCCATTGAGTCCGCGAGTCATTGCGTCAGTCAGTCAGTGAGTCAGCAATGCAAGTCCGTGATTTACTGAGTCACTGGGTGAATGAAACAATGAGTCAGTAGGTCGGTGAGTCAGTGAGTTAGTGAGTCAGTGAGTTGGTGATTCATTGATTCCGTGAGTTATTGAGTCCGTGAGTCACTGACTCATCGAATTAGTAAGTCAGTGAGTCAGTCAGTCAGCGAGTCAGAGATTCATCGAGTCATTGCGTCGGTGAGTTTGTGAGTAATTGATTCTATCAGTCAGTGAGTCAGTAAGGCTAAATACATATGACATACCGTACACATTGTATACATTCATCTTCGATGAATCGCCGTATCCATTACCGCAGTAAACAAGGTAGCTGTAACATCGATAGCACCACCACCACCAACAGAAACGGTAGCAATACCGTTTTGTAGATACTTTTTTACCATACTTATTGTACGTTTTCTCGGCATCAGGTCCAGAAAGACATTCCCCGCCTTTGTACAATGCAAAATATCTGTAACCTCTTCCTGTCGAGGCTTTGGCGCAGGCTTGGACTTTTTTTTGGCGATAAGCAACCGGTCCTGTTAAGAGAGGGTCTTGACCTTCTATGGAGGGTATGGGAGGTTCGCCGCTTTGCGCAGTCTTGTAGCAGTAATAATACCTGTTGTATTGAGGTGGAACTAAGAGGAAAAAGGAGCAGAAGATAAATAAAAACTTTGATCCCAAAGGTAATTGCTGTTGCAGCATCTTTGCCTCTCTCATGCATAGTCTACTGTTAAATCTTGGAAACTCTGAGGAGTTCTTTCCTTCCAAGACTCTTTAATAGAAATTGCAGGACGAAAACAAGTTTAAGAAACACGGTACAAAACATTTGGCGTCCTAGTTGGTCCTTTAGCTTCAAATGAAAGGAAGGGTCCAAATACTGACGACCCAAATCCTGATACAAAGATTTTAGAGGGAGAAAGGTGGACTCAACATGGCTATGTACGATGTACTTTGACTTTGAGGTCCTTCTACAAATCAGAATATATCCATTCTGCGAAATTCTATTGAAAAAGGGTGACTGAAGCTTTTGTTGGAAGGTTTGGACTGTCCACTCTTCTACAGAAAACAAATTGTATGGGCGACTCCCCTCTCCCAACTTAATTCCAAGAAGGTTAGCGACGTGCCGTCCATTCAGTACCACTGAATAAAGTACAATGTCAAACCACACTCAAAATAAAATTTATGAACTGAAAGATAGAAATCAAAGACACTCACATATAAAGTTTTCCACGAGTGGAGAACAATTCCATTCTGACTGTGCATATACAGCGCACTGCCACCCAAAGAGGAGAAGTGTTGATTGTGCAATAATCCTTGGAACGAGAGACGCCATTCTGATCGCGGTGTTACCTTGACTACATTGGAATCAAACAAAAACAAAACTAGGATGGACAATTCGTACGTGTTGGTGAATTTGAATACGATAACATTGCTTAAACAACATAAGACGTTTGTCGCTATGGTCCTTGGTAAACGAGTCTCAGTGGTAGAGTGTTCGAAGTAGTAATTAAAAGGTCATAGTTTCCACTTCTTTTGGGGCCCACTCGGCTTAATTTGACCTTCTTTAGTTACAATACCATCACACAGAAGCATTACATATCGACATTTTTATTCCTAGCAGTATGCAACAAGTAAGTTTGTCACAGTAGACCTAGTTAAAGGTTTAGCCTACTTAGAGTCTCCTAAAGCTCAGTAGCAAAGGGTTCGATGTACTAATCGTAGGGTCGTGGTTTGACTCTTATTTGGAGCACCCAGGTTTCTTTTATTCCGAGTATGACTGTGGCATTCACTGCATAAAATCTTGTTTCATAACATACCTCGTATCTTTCATGTTTTCCTATAACCTCGCTAATTTTTTTGCTCTTTTATCCATCCAACTTGCATTGCTATTCAGAGAGGGGGATCATCAACTCCTTTGACTATGTCTAGGAGAAAAAAACAATAATCATAAATACAAAGCTGAGTTACAGGACTCTTATCTCTCACTTGACGGCTAAAAATAATAGAAACGTGTAATTATTTTCAAAATGATTTGGGTTTTTTCATTAGTGGTAAGCCGACTGCAGGGGCGGATTTTGTTTCAAAGCTTAATGTATACACATTTTTAGCATCCTAACCAGCCACGCAAACGAAACCGAAAAAGGGACTGAGAGAATCCTATCATTTTCCCTCAACCAAGTTTAACCTTTTCCCCTTAACCTAAGCAGCGTGACAAGCATCCAGTTTCTTCATACAGTATCATTATGGGATCAACATTAAGGTTATGAGAATATAAAAAAATCCCGAGCTTAGGGAGTTCCATACTGTTAAACTAATCCTCTCTGTCAGTGCCATAGGAGTAGTATAGAGAGCAGTATATGTTCACTCGTGTAAATGGGCGGAGAATACAATGAGTTTTCGACTTCGGAAACAACATGGCAGCTGCTTCAGTGTCAAAGGTTCCACTGAGTTAAAGTAATGTCGACTGTAAGGCTCATTATTATGTACATCTGCCGCGAGTAGGTTCTGAGAAGTTTTACCTGCTTTAAATTTGTTCGGCTTTATCTTCAAATACTTACCACACTTATTTCAGATCTTAAATCATTAAAATTGTTTTCTTTGATGCATAACTTATGTGTTAATATGCAGGTCTTCACTAGTCCGTTTTTTGAAACAAACCATGTGTGGAAAATACGGTTGTTGTTTTTGTGTTACAAGAACTGAATGAAATCTTAATATTAACAAAAAAATCCTGTAATGATAAGAAAATTCCTCGCGTGACTAGTCCCTAACAGAGTTGGAGAAAGGTGCACCTCCTGTTTGGATTTCTTGCAGGGTTTTTTTGTGAGTCGTGTTTGTTTTTACACCTTCCAAACAAGTCTTATGTAAATAATTGTGTTTCCATAACTCATTAAGAGGTTCATGTTCCGAAAAAGTCAAAATTACATTTTCAGTTAGAAAAAACACAAACACAACTTTTCGAAAACACGTTTTTCTTCTTTCTCCTCGCGCACCTGTTTCGTATAGTTTCCAGGTCTCAAGAAATTCACTGAAGGGGTCTGTTAAGTGATAGCGGCAAATTACGTAACTCTGTAACTCTTCAAGGAAAATTTTGCTGAGTCGGTGCATGTTTCGTTAATGCTGTATTTTGTTAAATGATTAATGTAGAATGTAAAGTGCTGGTCATACGGTTTTCAAACATACCAGGATCGAATGTTCTAGTGGTGAAATTCAAGGCTTTTTTTTTTTTTTTTTTTTTTTTATCAAAGTTGTCATTCGTGAAAATTATTGTTGTATTCTTAGTATAATTCTTTACAATTAAGGTAGAATAATAATAAAAAGTACTATTTTCTTTTATGAAATTAGGGTAAAATAATAATGACGAAATCATCCTTCTTTTTATTCTAGAATCCCAGATCTGAATGTATGAACACTGAATTGAATTCTAAGAATAAAGGAGCTAGTGTCAAAATGTGTGTCTTCACTTGAGAAAGGAAAACATCTAGCGACAGAGGTTAGTTGGGTTCAAACATTACTATTTCTTAACTTGAAACTGAAATTGTTTTAGCTAAAAGAGGAATTTACACTTGGTGTAAAACTTATTCAAAACTATTCGATTTCGTTAATATTTAGAATCAACTCAAACCATATTCAATGGCAAACTTTGGGAATCTTACCTTTAAGTACGCACAACTTTGTGGCAGATGAAGATAATTATTTTAAAATCTAATTTTTTAAAGTCGTCGATAGAATTCTAATATCTTCAACTTTCCCAAAACGGTCTTTGTTTCTTTTAAAAACTATGATTATGCACTATTGTAGTTTAACAACTGTCATAAATAATTAATTTTGACATCCGCTGAGAATCTTTCCCTTCGCCTCCGGTTTTGTTCTTCGCTTACTATTATTATTAACTAATCACCTCCTCCTCACCCGCTGAAAAAGAAGGAAACAGAAAAAACGAATGAAGTTCTTAATCAGTTGAAATTTCTTAGTTATTGGTTGGTGGTAATTTAGAGTAAAACTTTTTACCCCTTCAGTATTCAGATTTTTTCTTCTTAAAGTCAAGTTTCTCTTTCAAAACATACTCTCTAAAACTTGTTCTTAACACCTGCTCCTTGACCAGAAATGTTTTAAAGTTTAGAAGAACCTCATTAAAATCTATGGAGGAGGCCGACTGTTTTTCAGTCTAGAGGTCATAACAATAAGCAAATTTGAAGGAAATCTGATGAAAAACTCTCAGTCTTTGAGGAATTCCTTTTATTAAGGCTTCTGTTAACAGCAGCTGTGTTCGTTAATTGACACAAAAAAAAATTACTGCAGGGTTTTTAGGAAAGCATTAGCAATCTGCAGAAGAAACGCGGTCGAAATAATAACTGTCTCCGAACCAACGGTGAAAAGAAGAACATAAACCGTTATCTCCTGTCGCTCTCAAATATCATGTCAATTGAAGATTCTTGCTTCTGTTTACTCAGTCATTACAGAGTTCAAATCAGCTTATGGTGTTAACTTCGTCAAATGATGAAGTGACACCGCTAGTGATAAAAAGATGGCTGTGGTATATCTAGTCTTTCTCTTGGTTAATAGAGCTGTGAGAGAATTTCGAAATATTTCAAGTCCATTTTAGTAAAAAATGGTGGATCCAGTTTACAAACTTTTAAAATCATATTCATATAAGACAAATCAAGTCAAGAACCTTTGAAACCTTCAATTTTCTTTCACATGACTTTTCGAACCTAAAATTACATCATTCGGTGAAAATTAGTAAAAGCAAACCATGGTACTGGGAATTTATTTATAATCAATCGCATGGGAATCTCCAAGTAGTTTTCCTTTAAAGGTTTGTGAAGATGCCAAGCGCCGTGATTTACGTTAATATAACGTGAGCAGAGATGAAAATTCTCAAAGAGAAAGCGAAATGGATAGTCCGAGCTTTTCACGCTTAGTTAGATTGCAAATTTAATTACTTACTGTGATAAAATCAAACACAGCTAACACCCGTATAGTATATTTAGTTTCGTGTTCAAAAACAAAACAGAACGAAATAGGAATGACGAAAAACATACAAACAAACTGGCATTATTGTTAAAATTCATACAAATACGATGGTGTCAGAGCGACTGCTATCATGCTAAGGTCCATCGCGGCTAGCTCATAATGGCGATCTTCGGTCATCGCAATGAAGCAAGCCTTGACATTACATCGGACGCCCTTCGACTGAACGACTAAGAGCTTGCTCTGGTATCCTTTCCGACACGTGGAGTGGAAGGTCACATCAGACACAGCAGCCGAGTTTTACAGTGCTGTCATCCTGAGCGATCTTCATGTACTTATGAATTCGTCTCTCTTTATTCATACAACACACGTCTCGAGTAGTTTGTTTTCTAATTGTCATGTAAGAGAACTTGCGTGTTTTTATGAACCCCAATTCAGTCGGAATTCACTGAACATTTCACTTTCAGACTATGTATTAAAGACAAAAAACAAAAAAAAACTTCAGGAAAAAGTGTTAAATTGTATCTGCCAGACTAATTCAGTTTTTTAACTATTGCAAATTGTGGACTTTGATGGTTTCTGAAATTTGATGGTTTGACATTTTTGACAGCATTCGTCTCGTTCAACCAATCAGATTATTGAACCATTCTTACAAGGATCCTGATATGCCTATTGGAGCGTGCTTTATGAGAGTTTAGAGCATGCTGACGACACTGATGATCGCTTTGGAAGTAAAGTTTGTTTTGAAAATTGAAAGTAATGCTTGGAGAATTTAACGGATTCTTTATTAAAACAACTAATCGACTGCGTAACCTGTTTCCCCCAATACTTCTTACGTCTTCTAGCCGCTTCCTAAGTGCTTTAAAACAGAACAGAACACAGTCAAGGCTTCTCTATCTGATAATTATACCTTTAAGCACTATTTGGTACAATTGAAAGCAGTTCGAATCACTCTTCGTTGATCTCACGCAGATTTTAGATGGGCAAGAGAATTCAGGCCAAGATATTTTTACTGTGAAATGGCTCAGTTCAAATATGAGTCAAACTCTTTACGGACTTAAGACATTCTGCTGTGAAAGAATATAACTAAGGAGCCAACTGTATAACTTTGACAAGGTTTAATGTTACCTGTTCTGTCATTTGAAGGTAATAATTTAAACTTAGAATATTATTGGCTTAAAAGAGAAAACTATAACGAAACAGGAATTTGTGGAGATAAAAGCATAAATTACTTCTATCTCCATGAAAACACCTGTAAAAGGTATCATTCATTAAAAGTTCAAGTTAATTTACCTCCTGAGAGAGCATGTGAAGGGATAGAAACACGCAACATAATAAAACTTGAAAATTTTAAATAAAATGAAAGTGCAACTTTTTTATCCATCTTTGTGGAAGCAGCTATAAGTAGTCATAATAAACAGCAAGAAAATATTTTATAAAGGGCATTCACACACATATGTAAGTTAATTACAGCTAGTTCAGAATCCTGTCAGGGGCTTAAATACCTACTGTGTAGAATAATACACCCCCTGCATTCTTTGTTGTATGTAATATATTTGAGGGTGAGAAATAGAAGCGCCTTCTGCATTAGAAGTAGCTTTCTGTCGCGTATCTGCAAGGATACGTTATTTAGACCTCCAGTTTTATCTCAAAATGAAAACCATCGTCTTCATCGTCTCCATCAAGTTTGGAACTTTCTTTTCTTGGTGTAATTGCTGTTTGGGTAAGAACATCTCGTAATTTGTTAATTTTGGTAACTGTAAGGATTCAATTTTGGTAACGGTAAGGATTTAATTTAACTACGTTGGATACAAATCTATTGGAAAAGTTTCGAGGAATTTGTTTTTTCTCTATCTCTCCATTACTGGTATTATATTTTGAAGTTATCTTTTACATATTGTTTCTTAATTTTGATAACTGTAAGGATTCAATTTAACTACAAAATTTTTAGAAGAGAAATAATAATTTGAAGAAGAAATAGCCCTTATTCTTTAAATTTGTCGAACTCCCATTAATACGACTCCATGGGCGTTTTTGGAGAATAATGACGTTATGTTAAGTTAATTTGGAAAGAGAACGCATTGACGGTAGATGGGAATAAAAATTGGATGAAAAAGTACCCGAAAAGCTCTTTATCTTGAAGAGAGCCACAATAAAAATTATGTTCGCTTTCCACAGATGACGAATTTCGTAATATCGTGTTCAAACAACCAGTCCCGAATAAGATATTGAAGAATCATTTGATCAAGACTGAGGATGTGCCTAATGAGGGGAGCTGTCGTGTGTTGTGTTATATGGACCCCGACTGCGTGTCCATCAACCTTGGACCATTTATGCGAGGAAAACACATATGTCAGTTAAACAATGCTACTGACAAAAGTCTCGCCAGTGAACGTGGTTTTACTCACCTTGCCATTGAGGTAACGAGCACATTTTATTCATCTCTTTGAGCTGTTTTGTGGTACCTGAGTGCAGATAGATTCTCTAGCCTCGAAGGATGCATTTATGGACTTGTTCTTCCATATAATCTTGATGATCATAGCGTACTTCAATAACAGGTGGCTCAAATCACATCCATTAGATTCTTGCACGAACCTCAAGAGCGGTGGATGAAATATAAAAATAAGAAAACCTAAGAATTAATCGTCCTTCACCGAAGCTTACAGTGATTCCTTTAAAGTATTTTTGAAGCCAAAACAATCGATGGGAAAAATTTATACGCATATATGGTGACAACATCTAAGATAAGATTACTTGGTGATTTCAATCAAGAGTTTAAGAAATTTGGAATGCGAGGGTTTTGTATCACAGCACGCTGTTATTTGCGCACGAAACTTGCATCTCCTTATCAATCAGGCATAAAATTTGCTTGTGATGAATTTTAAAAAATTCTTAATGGCGCCTTAACACATTTTCCTTTTTTAAGAGTTTGGAGATGTTATCATAACAACTTTGGTTATAAGTTTAATGAAACGTGCTTCATTTTATATTTGTTATTGAATAGAACCATTGTGATAGCGGCCCGTGTTTAAATGGAGGCATCTGCCAAGCTGGTTTCACAAGTAAAGGTTTTCGGTGTATCTGTCCAGAAGAATTCAGCGGAGGAGAAGTTTGCCAAGGTATTGTAAAGGTGATGATATGGTCAAAAATTTCAGCATAAACCCTCTGAAACCTTGTGAATAAAGGAGGAAAGTTTTTAAAGAAACTGTGGTGCCGCGTCGGTGGGAGAGTATGACAAGGTGATAAAGTATTATTAACTGAATTTAAAGCTGACGTTTCGTGTGTTAGCACTGCGTTAGAGTGAAGCCTAGATCATTTCATATATATTACATTTAATTATTTTATATCAAGTGAGGTGTGTCTTCTTTCTTGCCTAAGTTTCTTATTTTGATACGGAATCGATATCGTTTGGAAAACACTTCTGTGTCTAAATTTACCAATTTTTTTTATTGCTCTCATCAGTAAAGATACTGTTCTAATCCAGTCAGTACCCTGTTGTTTGCTGCATATTCTACGCGATCAGTCTTAAAATTTATTTTTTAGATTTTTATTCTAGCTTTCAGAAATTGCGCTGACATTTTTAAATCAGGCCAAAAAAGAGACGGTGTTTACGTCATCAAACCTGACGACCGATCAGCTTTTGATGTCTTCTGCGACCAAACAACGGCCGGTGGAGGATGGACGGTATTCCAGAAAAGAATCGACGGTTCCGTTGACTTCAACCTCAACTGGAGCGATTATAAGCGTGGCTTCGGAGATCTTAGAGGCGAGTTTTGGCTTGGCTTGGACAGGATTCATCGCCTGACTTCAGATAATAACAGCATGTTACGAGTAGACATGGCGGACTTCGAAGGGAGAAGTGCTTATGCCGAATACAGCTCTTTTGGTGTCAGGAGTGAACATGACAAGTACCGGTTGATCCTTGGTTCTTATAACACATCAGGTGACTAAACTAATTTACATGCGCATTGTGTAATTCCAAGGCTTGCTTCATGCGATGACCGGAGACAACAACAACAATTTTAACACAAACAAAGACAGAAAAGTTAGTAAAGTAATTGAATAAGAGATAGAACATTGTTAAGAAAGTTAAGAAAAATACTAAGCCCAGCGGTTAAAAAATTTCACGTAAAACGAAATTCGATAATGGTTAATCATTTAGTAAATGATTTAGATGATATCTAAGAGAATTTTTGTCCCTTTTCCCAGCATTTTGTTGATAAAATAGTGTTTGAAGGGTTCTGGTTCTTGAGAGGAGTATAATTAAGATATTTTATTAACCCTGTCAGTCTCGTCTTCGGGTTTCATTTCTTACTTCCTTCCTATCACCACTTACTTTCATTGTGTACTCGAAGCCATTTTGGTAACTATATGCACAATTCAGTTTTATAGCTCTGCAAAGGGATTTATTTGTTTGCATTTTTCCCTGTTAGTTTTGAGTCATACTGAGATAAAACCGAACAAAACCTTGGCTCCTGTACACGCTCTTCTACATGAGAAATTACATCCAAGGTTAACTTTTAAACCAGGATTAAAGTCAACCCCTTTTCGAACAACCCTGCCCAGAATAACAGATATGCAGCAATTAAACCTACTCTTGCAAGAGCAGTGGCGGATCTAGGGAAGAGGCCCGGGGGACCCAATCCACTTCTCCCTTCCTTATTTTGGGTTAAAAAAAAAAGAAAAAAAGAAAAGAAGGAATCGCAGAGGGAAGAAAATCCGGCAGTCCAAGCGACAGAAAACCTCCCCCTCTCCTCCTTCCTTAGCGCAAGGTCTGGATCCGCCACTGAAGACAGTATAACTTTTAAATACTTTCCTGGTTTTTGCTTTGGTAAATTTCTCAGCAACCGCTGGTGACTCCTTCTCTTACCATCGTGGCTGGCCATTTTCTACTCCGGATGAAGAGAACGATTTCAAACCCACTGGGAACTGTGCCCTCGAGTACCATGGTGGCTGGTGGTTTAAGTGGTGTCACAAGGCTTTTTTGAATGGTCCCTACATACATGGGCCTAACCCTGATCACGGCGAAGGCAATATTTGGGAACATTTTCGAGGTGTTCGTTACTCATTGAAGAGCTCTCAGATGAAAATAAGACCTCGAGACTTTTAAGCTGCTGATCAGTAGTTGTCTCTTACCTAGCAATGATTCTGTGCTGAAGCGTTTTCGAACACAGCACACGGTTTTATTCAGTATTGTTAACGATTTGAAACCAAATAACACCAGAGGTGGAAAATAAAGCACTCCGATGACCTTAAGACTGCGAGTCGTCTGAGTTGGACTGAAGTTCCTCTTATGTAGCACAGATCATGTCTTACACTTTTCTGAACACAGCAAACGTTTTCACGCAGACAGAGCGAAGACAGACCTTCTCTGTTGATATATATTACAAAGCTTGTACCCGAGTCTTATGTAAAATAATAGTAGTCAGCTTTTATTTTGGCATTGACGTGTATCACAACACAGAAGATGAAAGCCAACCTCTGATTGATTGATACCGAAAGAGGATGAAATTAAGAAAAAAAAGCAAAATATCTCCAATTCATGGCAACCGTTAACATTTTTGCATGAACAGTCAAGAAGCAGACAGCAAATGCATAGTATTACAGTCTGTCATTTGCGTGAAGGTTGAACAAATAATGTTACAACCAAACGACAAGGTCGATGCTTATTCCCATTTTCATGCTTGTTCGAGTCATATCGTAAGTCTCGAGTTAAGTCGCTAAGAAACAAAGACTTCATAAAGGCTGCCATCAAAGGGCTTTTATGATCATTGTTTGGTCATGACTATTTTAATCTTAATTTGCAAGCAGTGAGAGTGGGCGGACTGACTCAGTCCTTCAAATATGCTTCAAAGAGGCATTGTTATGATAATATAATATTTGCATCAATTTTTTCAAATTAGCTATTTCCTATCCATTTAAATCTTGTTGCATGTAAACAGAACGTTGGCGTCTTCCGTCTTATCCTAAAAGATATTACTCTGGTATGACGCAATTGGAACACTTTAAAATATGCTTGTCATGTATCATGCATATGTCTCCAAAATTAGCATCCTTTCAAGCTTCTGGAAAATAAATGGAAAGGTTTTGTGGAAAAAAAAATACTATTTGCGCAATTTCAGAATTGTTTGAACGTTTTTTAAAGGAGAGTTGTTAATTATGAATTTTGGTTAAAAAGCGATACGACAGTAAAAGAAATTTTAGCTACAATGTCTAAACGTGCTTAGGCTTATGACAGCTCATTGTTTGTCTTCAAATCTTTGTGATTAAGAAATTCTGTGTAGACAAACATTGCATGCTTTAATTCTAAGCTTAAAATAGACTGTAAATGTAAAAATTACGCAATTCAACTTAAATGCACTTGAGCTGAGCGGGAGCTTAAATAAAAGTTAACTTTTATTTCCGAAATGTTTGACCTCAGTTGACTCCTACATCTCTTTTATTTCCTCGCAGTTACAATTATCCGACGATAAACCTTACCTTTGTCGTCATTTCCTATTTAGGAAATTTCCCTAGTTTAAAACAACCTCATTGAAATATTTGGAGGATGCCGACGGTTTTTCAGTCTACACGTAATAACAGTTAGAAAATTTGAAGGAAAAACTCTCAGTCTCTGAGAAATTCCTTTTGTAAAGCTCCTGATAACGGCAGCTGTGTTTGTTAATTGACACACAAAACAAATTGCAGGGTTTCGTGGAAGACATGAACAATCTGCAGAAGGAGCGCTGTCGAAATAATAACTGTCTCTGAACCAACTGTGAGAAGAAGAATAAAAGCTGTCATCAACCGAACCTGAAATTACTTCATTCGATGAAAATTTATAAAAAGCAAACCGTGATACTGGAAATTTATTTGTAATTAATAGCATGGGAATCTTCAAGTAGTTTTATTTATATATAGTTCAGATATAACGCGCGCTGTCATTGATTGAAAAAGCGTGCTCTATCAGAGTACAAAACATAGAGCTGAACTGAGGTTGTCACGCCATTTGCCAAATTGTATTGAGTCCAACCTCTTCTCGGACCTCTCTCTAGCTTTTTTCGCTAATTGTAAGTGAAATTTTGGAATAAGCGAGCCGGAGAGTAGCAACAGAAGAACCAAACAAAGGTTTGTAAAAATGCCAAGCGCCTTAACTGACGTGAACAGAGATGGATCTCCTTCAAGAGAAAGTGAAATGGACAGTCCGAGTTTTGAAGGTTTTTCATGCTCAGTTAGATTGCAAACTTAATTACTTAAGGTGATAAAAATCAAACACAGCTAACACTTGTGTAGTATATAGTTTCGTGTTCAAAAACAAAACATAACAAAATAGGAATGATGAAAAACATAAACAAGCTGGCATTATTGTTAAAATGAAATATGCTAAGGTCCATCGCGGCTAGCTTATCATGGCCATCTCCGGTCATCGCATTGAAGCAAGCCTTGGAATAACACCGGACGCCCTTCGAGTGAGCAACTAAGAGTTTGCTCTGATCTGATATTCTTTCCGATGCGTGGAAGGCCACATGAGTCACAGCAGCAGAATTTTACAGTGCTGTCATCCCGAGCAATCTTCATGTACTTGTGAATTCGGCTGTCGCTATTCATACAACACACGTCTTGCGCAGTTTGTTTTTGTGGAAGAACTTGCGTTTTTTTATGAACCCCAATTCAGCCGGAATTCACTGAACATTTCACTTTCAGATTATATGTTAGAGACAAAAAAAAAAAAAAAAAAAAAAAACTTCAGGAAAAAGTGTTAAATTGAACCTGCCAAACTAATTCAGTTTGTAAACTATTGCAGATTGTAAACTTCGATGGTTACTGAACTTTAATGGTTTGACATTTTTGACAGCATTCGTCTTGTTCAACCCATCAGATTATTGAACCATTTTTACAAGGATCCTGATATGCCCATTGGAGCGTGCTTTATGAGAGTATAGAGCACGCTGACGACACTGATAATCGCTTTGGAAGTAAAGTTTGTTTTGAAAATTGAAAGTAATGCCTGAGGAATTTAACGGATTCTTTAGAAAAGAATCCACTACGTCTCGTGTTTCCCACAATACTTCTTGCGTGCTCTAGCCGCTTCCTAAGCGCTTAAAAACAGAACAGAGCACAGTCAAGGCTTCTCTATTTGATGATTATATCTTTAAGCACTATTTGGTACCGTTGAAACCAGTTCGTATCCCTCTTCGTTGAATTTAAAATGATAGGTCAATTTTATTCAAAAAGCTGTGGTAAAACTTTTGAAATCACTCTGGAAAAAAGGAAAAAAAAGTTGGTAATGACAGTTTACTAAGCAATCAAATGAGAAAAAATAGGAAGGAATGGATCTCACGCAGATCTTGGATGGGCGAGAGAATTCAGGTCAGGATATTTTTATTTTGAAATGGCTTGAAATATGAGTCATTCGCTCTACGAACGTAAGACATTTTGCTGTCAAAGAATATAACTAAGGAGCCAACCCTACAATGTTGACAAGGTCTAATATTACCTATTACGAATGTTACGAACTTAAGATATTTTACTGTGAAAGAATATAACTAAGAAGCCATCCTTCTAACTTTGACAAGGTTTAAAGCCTGTTCTATCATTTCAAGGTGTTAGTTTAAACTGAGACTGCTTTAGGCTTAAAAGAGAAAAGAATCGTAACTAAACCAGAATTTGTGGAGATAAAGACATAAATTGCTTTCATCTCTAAAAAACACCTGTTTAGAGGTATCATTCATTAAAAGTTTAAATCAATTTAACCTACTTAGAGAGCGTATGAAGGAATAGAAACATGCAACATAATAAAACTTGAAATTTTGCAATAACGAACTTAAGACATCTTGCTGTGAAGCAATATAACTAAGGAGCCGACCCTATAACTTCGACAACGTCTAAAGTTACCTTTTCTTTCATTTGAAGGTGATAGTTTAAACTGAGGACGCCTTAGGCTTAAAAGAGAAGAGATCATATTTAAACAGGAATTTGTGGAGATAAATGCATAGATTGCTTTTATCTCCATAAAAACACCTGTTAGAGGTGTCACTTATTGAAAGTTCAAATAAAATTAACCTCCTGAGAGAGCATATGATGGAATAGAAACACGCAACGTAATAAAACTCGAAATTTTTTAATAAAAATTAAACTGAAACTTTCCTATCCATTTTGGTGGAAACAGTTATAAGTAGTAGTAATAAACAGCTACAAAATATTTCAGAAGGAGCATTCACTCGCAAATGTAAGTTAAATGCAACTAGTTCAGAATATTTTAAGTGCCTGAAGTACCTGCTGTTTAGAATAATACACCCCCTGCATTCTTTGTTGTATATAATATATTTAAGGGTGAAAAATAGAAGTGCCTTCTGCATTAGAAGTAGCTTTCCGTCGCGTTTCTGCAAGGATGCGTTATTTAGACATCCAGTTTTATCTCAAAATGACAACCATCGCCTTCATCGTCTCCATCATGTTTGGAACTTTCTTCTTTAGGTGTAATTGCTGTTTGGGTAAGAATATCTCGTAATTTTTTCTTTCCATTATCTTAAAATATCTCTTTATTGTAGATATTTTTTATGCATAAAGGCTCGACTAGCTGTAGCTAACTGCAAGCAGTATGTATCTTTTTTTTTTCATTTCAAACTTGTAATAAACTCGTAGCTTTTTATAAACTTTTCATCTGTAAACTTGTAACTAAAGTCAAAACTTACTGTCTTCATATCATTTTCATTCCGGGCCATTTTTTTTGAGGAATCATCTCTCCATTACTGATATTATATTTTTGAAGTTACCTTTTACATATTGTTTCTCAATTCTGATAACTGTAAGGATTCGATTTAACTACGTTAGATACAAAACTTTTGGAAGAGAAATAATAATTTGAAGAAGAAATAGCCGTTATTCCGTAAATTTGTCGAACTCCCATAAATACGACTCCATCAACGTTTTTACAGAGTAAAGATCTTGAAGTTAATTTACAAAGAGCACGCATTGAATAAAAGTAATCGAAAAGCTCTTTCCGAGCCACAGACACACCACATCCTGCTTTCCACGATGATGAGTTTCGCAATATCTTGTTCAAAGAACCTATCCCGAATAAGAAAATGAAGAAACATTTAATCAAAACTGAGGCTGTGCCTAATGAGG